TGTAGCAGCCATTTTTCAGCCCTCCTTGTTTGACGACAGATTGATGCCACAATTTTTTACCAGCGATCATGTCAGTAGCTAAATCCCGCAAGTTACCGACAGAACTCCTCAGATCGATCCACGGTGGTACAGCTACAAAAAACTTCTACACATATCATCAGAGTCGCACATCCTTGTTAGGGTTATCTATTACTTAACGAAAATGTAATAATTAAACAGTGCCGTCACTCCGACCTATAAGAACCCTCTCCTGCCACCCACAAACAAATTTTTGGACAGTTCAATAAGAACAATGAATTGAGCCATACACTCAAATCTGCATAAAAGAAAGTGCAAGAAGTGCTGAAACTTTGTGATTAGCAAGTCCATAGGTATAGTTTCCAAGGGAGACTGCTGAACGGCCATAACATTAGATTGACGGGAATTCCCCTCTATTTTTCCTTCTTCTATATGTTTTACATGTGCGAACACTGGCCAAAATCAGAGAGGGTTTTCCGGTTTGAATTTTCAAATTTCGCGCCAGACGCCTGCTCCTGCTTCGTAGCTGCCCCTATTACACTACCTGCTTACTGGTTTCCAAGAAGCTCTGCGGCGTCTATAAAGCTATATCATACCAATTGCCAACTATTTGTTCTTCTTTGTCCGTTTTTTTTCATTTTCTTTCATAATCGCCGATCAGACTCGTGTTCTCGTTTCTGCTGCGCTGCGTTCATACTTCAAAGTCTTCTCGACCGCTTTATTTGATACCAACTAGGTATTACCATATGTAAACAACTGAGACATTCTTACTATAGTTAAGTTTACTTGGGTCGCATCTTCTTCCGTTTTTTTTTTCTGGACCTTATATCAGTTTGATGAACAAGGATGAATCAGAATCGCAAAGTATGAACCCATCAAAAGGCCGCGTCTACCGTATTCCTGACTTGCCCATGCGTTCAAATGATCGCGCAGGTTGCCTGAATTTGGTTCCTTCAATGAATTATATGAAGTAGAGGGAGGGAGTGGAGGGTGAACCTTGAAGAAACGAATTCAGCAAGTCAGAAAAATAGAAAACTGTGACTTAGCGAAAGTGCATCGGAAGATTCGCAGACACCGTCTGTGTGCAACGCGCGGCTTGGCCGGTCGTTTCAGTCTCGCGCTCAATTCCAAATCATTTCGCTCTTTTTTATCATGCATAATGTACCTTGACGACTGTTGCATGCTGCTGACCGCAGAGCTGCGAACCTTACTCCTATTAATTCCTTTATTAGCGTCTCATGTAAAGAAATGGGTGCTAAGAGGGTTGGGGGGGGGGGGGGGGGGGGGGGGTGCCACGCGGCGGTGCGGCACTTTGCTGTCTGGCCGTCCAGCGAGACAGTAGAGAAGGAAGATTAGTAGAGCCCAAAATGGTGTCTAGGGACGTTTCATAGCTTTCTTATGTTATAACTGTGTATTTTTCACCTAATTTTTAGGGAGGGAAGGGCTTGTTTTTTGCATAGGTCTTATAGGCCCAGAAGAAGTGTTCCATAATATGCAAGCATATAACATGTGCCAAGAGTTAGCTTGTTTTAAATCACCTCACCATCCCTTCACAGACTCATGCTCGTGCTACTATCTCACTGGAGAGAGCGCCAGACGCCCGCCCTCAACCCACTTAGCACCAAGCAATGATCGATGTACTATTCGGTCTTCTTATTCTTTCGCTGTGACGACCAGCAGTAATATGCATATTTCACCTCGCTGTTCTCAGAATCTAGAACGTGGAAAAAATTTTGTACTACTGTGATTTAGTTGTTGTGCAATTTCATGAGTGCTTCGAGGACAACCGCCAGACGAATTCAAAATCTTGGTCCTACTCTGGACAATCGCTCGGTGAGGTTATCTTCTATAATCATGCTCATAGTTTTCTGTATTGCAGATTCGAATGATTAACTTAACTTTAGATCAAAAAGTACGGATTTAAAAGTTCCGTGAGCGTATTATACAGTAACGCGAGCTGTCACTCGGACGGGCTGATTACATTAGAGCGCGAGCGGTAAAAGCAGTAAGCTGCCTCTTTAGGAGAAGCAGGAGTGTGGGTTATTTCCTCAGGAATCGCTATAAAGGGAACGGTATAAAGAGAAAGATTCGAATACACAGTGGAATGATACGATAACCAACGCAAACCACTGGCTGCTTTCATACTTGGAATTGCGCGCCGGCTCGCAATTGGAGACGGCGGGAGACGGACGTTAGGTACGATTTTGGGTAATCGATTCGCCGCACGCGGCTGTCGCGGACCACTCATTCGCCGTTACTACAGCTCTAGCGCTCTTTATACAGCTCAATCGATATGCGATCATTGTTTTATGCATAATTCTACTATTAGTACTTTTGTTTTTGTATTTCTTACCTACTGCTGCATCCTGCTACATTCCTTCGCGCGCGACGCCCCTTTCACCGCGACGCCACCATTTCGTTCCTANCACACCACACCCGGAGACGGCCGTACATTTAGGAAGTGGCGTGCGAGCTGCTATGCGACGGCGGCCTTGTCCAAGCATGTGACAGCAGCGCGTACCGATCGATACCGCAAATCGAGGATGACTGCTGTCACACTCTTGGACAAGGCCACCGTCGCATAGCCGCTCGCACGCCGCTTCCTAAATGTACGGCCATCTCCAACTGCGAGTCGGCGCGCAAGTCGAAGTATGAAAGCAGCCAGTGGAATGTAAACACGGAATAATCCTACTCTGTATAACTCGCTAAGTGTGTCTGTTAGTTTGCCGGCGTGTGTGCGTGTGTGTGTCGGTGTTTGTGTTTTACCGGAAATTCGTAGCTCCAGTTCCCGTGGACCTAGAGTGTTGAATTTCGGTAGGAGTACAGGCGGCAGGATGGGAGCACTCATGGCAGGTAGCGGACCAGACTACGTTCAGAGGGGGCGGTGCGTGCGCGATAGAAATTTTTATTTTAGTTTACATGCACTCACGGTGCACCCTCTATATTACACACATGACAGAACAACAGGCTTGACTAGAGCGTAACCAAACAGAACAAAAAAGACCGAACAAACTAGCAAATGATGACGATTTGCAACGTAAAGGATAAAAAAAAATAACCCTGGCCCAACAGAACGGAAAAGCAACGAAAAAATGCAGAAGCAAGGTGGAAACATAAGCGAAAGCACACGTAGAAATGTTGAGACAGACCAAGTGACATCTTGATGAGAGGGGAAGGGCATTATGATGAGGTAGAAGGAAGCTATCGGCAGAGCTGCACTTTAGAGCGAAATAACAAATAACTTACAGCATCCGAATGGACATTAGTGGACAGAAAAGCACGTGCATTTCATGAGGAAAAGAAAGAAAGAAAACTGGACGACCATAAATAATCTTGGAATACCAATTTAATAAATCCATAGAAAAGTTCCACTGATAACGACATATGGGAAGATTTGTGACTTGTTTTGCCTAACAGCTGGATCTCTGATAGGCAATCATATTAACATGAAAAGCAACAGATCGAGACTTCTAGTTATCGGCGTGAGCATCGGCACATACTGAATACCTTTTGTAGCGCCCTCCCTGTTAGCGCTGTGCCAAAAAGGTATCATTTAGTTTGAGTATCGAGGGGCGGGTTATCCGTTATCACAACTTTGTCATAAGAAGAAGGGAAGCCCGGCGCCAGCCGGGCGATCGGACTGGTAGTTATAGTTAGTCTTAATCACAATACACAGCCTACGCCTTGCCTTTGACGTTGGTCGAAGAAGTAGTGCGTACCCACTCATCATGGTTCCGCTCGACCCGCTCCATTTGGGCGTGGGTTGAGTTGGGAGAGGGGTTCCTCTCAGACGATGAGACGACGGGATATAAATAGGGGATCGCCGCCGTAGACGACGATAGCTCGGGTTACTGTAAAACACATTTGCGGAACGTTTGAATTCGTATTGTTATGTGCTCTATGCATGCCACACGCAGTGGATTGCTGAGGGTCAATAGAATGGGTGCTTTTCGTTCTCTCATCAATGAAACTAGATCATGTCACAGGCTGCTTTCAACGTCCACCGGCTGACGGAAAACGAATTAGTTCTTGTTAGAAATCTACGTCTGCTGCATTTTATTTCACGGTCTGACTCTTCACGGTCATGTTCGGGCCGTGAAATAAAATGAAACAGACGAAGATTTCTTACACGAAGTAATTCGTTTTACGTCAGCCGGCGCGCCGGCTAGCCGACTATGAAAGCAGCAGCACACGTCGCGGGCGGCGCATTGCAATCTCGAGATGGACACGTTTGAACCGTGTAAGGATTTTGTGGGATGAATTGCTTTCTCGTGCGTGGTTACGCGAACGCAACTGACCAGGGAAGGTTCCAACTTCGCATGGAACTTTGTATAGAGACCTAGGTATATCGATAGAGTTTCTAATGCAATTCACAAATTTCGAAATTAAAAGTGCTAAATGAGTCTACCAAAAAAGTTATGAGTTCTCAAAGTTTGCTTGCTCGGTGCATGAAGAGGTAGTGCCAGTTGAAATACGCAGTTGCCCGCAATTGCCGCGAGGGTCGCTGTAGTGCATTGGTGTTGCTCTCTACCTTTAGGAGAGAGAAGAAGGTTTGCTTCCCGATAGCGCGCCAATTTTTGCGTAATGTGCTTCCTTCCAAATAAATGCTCTTATACCGTTTTAGATAACTAATTAAAGCTAGCGCCTTTTGTCGGCTATCATTCGCGGCCAACACACACTGAGTCTGCAAGAAACTTTTTATATAAAGAATGAAGTCATTAGAGTTCATGGGTCACATGGACTGGTCACATGGACAGCACCACAGCTCTTTCCTTTCCTAGACGGATCGCATCAAACCTGGTCGTGGCTATAATAAGTGATGTGTTGTGATCGTATTCATCGCGTAGACTCATCAATGACAGAATTTGTTTGAGGGTAGCCATAAAGTAACTTAATAGAGAAAAACTTGAAAGAGGTACACTTATCATGTTTGTTTCTAGTGGGGTGCGACATTTCCGGACAATGTGGATACGTGGTCTGATTCAAAGAAGTTCATTTCGAGATGCATGTATGTTGCATTCTGCCACATAATCGCTAGCCGAGGACTTCTTCCGAGTAATAATTTTAAGAAGAGGCAAATCGATGGTAAGGGATGCAGCTGTTACATGTTAAATTCATTCTTTAAGTTTTAGCATGTACCCATATACCCAATGTCTTTGAGCATTTGACATATGATAATTGAACGAGTACTGAAGACATAATTAATATAGCTCAAATTGCTTTGATGTTACGCACAAAGTCTCTATTGAACGGCTAGAAATGAATTTTTACGACTGTTAGGAATTTTATTTCTACTATATTTTCTACCAATATAAGATTAAGCTTAAACCAAAGTTTTACCATCTATTTCGCATCTTGCTGTGCAATATCAAGCGCATTTTTACTCCTATCGAATAGTATGCGAAGAAATTTCATTCTTTATCTTCAACGGCTCATAAGGAAGTCGGTTGACGCAAAGCACAACAGTGATTTCCTAGCGTTTATGCTGTTTTTGGCTTTTAACCATCTCTTGATAAATTGTAGCTTGCTGCTCTTTACAGGTGACCTTCGTGCTTACGTCATGAATTCGCACGAGGTCTTGGGGGCGCGCTTCGTTCAGAAATTCAAAGGTGTCTCGGAGGCTGTTGATAAGAACTATCTTCGAGAGCTGATGCTTGTAATATCCCCCAGAGAGGACGATGAAACTGATGCCATAGAAATTCACTGCTGGAGATTACGATACGATGCTGATGGTGATCCACTAGCGGAATTGAGACAGTGGGATGACTTCTTCATTGGAATTTTGTGATTGGCTTAGGGCAAATTAGTAACATTTCACCTCTTCAGAGCCGATGGCACAGTAATGGCTGCGCTCCGTTTCAAAGGAATGCACTGCTTGAAGAAGCAGGTAGCTGAACTACTGCAAACGATCAGAACATTGTGCAAAGGAACACTAGGAGCATTGCCACCTGAGGCCTCAGCAACATTAAGAATCACCTATACAGATCGTTAGTTTCTTTTCTTTTCAACCTAAGGCTATATTTTTCTTTATGTCTGTCTACGTCGGTCACAGTCAAGCGACGCAGCTCCGAAGAAGTCATTCGTTGTCACTGAAATGGCGGTTTTAAATAATGAAGTGGGTGATGACTGGGTGAAATTCGAGTACTCAAAAGGAGTGTTCTTGCGACAAGGGGAATTTTTCGCTAACTTGTTTTTGTTGATGACCATTTTCCCTCCTTGAACGAAATCAGCTAAGCTCTATACTTCGATCCAGTAACTTCCGGTAGTCCAAACAGTAATCGCCATCAACGCTGCCTGAAAATAACGTCTTCAGGAACACCGAAGGGCTATCAGGCACCTGGTTTCTACCGTGCTCCCGATGATCCCGTTTTGAGGTCAGATGCGCAGGAAATCGAAATCGGAGCCATGCAAACAAAATATCACGGGTAGTCAATGCTTGAACTGTTTGGTTTAGGAACCTTATTTCTTCCCATTGCCTCCGCAACTTGTCCTTGAAAATTTCAAATTTTTCAGCGCATCGGTCGTTGTACAAAGCGTGTTCATTGACGACGCTTACGCTGTAGGGCTGAGACTCAAGGATGGCGTTCAATATGGTCACTTGAACGACTCGCTGAATGATTCTTTTGGTGAAGATGCGGAAGCTGGAGATGAACCTAATTTCTCTGATAATAACAATAACAACACGATTGAGCGTATCAGTGACATAGCCGAACAGCAGGTATCGAATACTATTCATAGTGCGCTTCCGCCTATATATTTGTTTCCTCTTACGGAAATCCGATATTACTTGAAACAGCAACTGAAGAAGTCGGGTAAATGTTGAATTGGGTAATGTTTGAATTGCATAAAGTTGAATTGCGTTGGGCAGAGGGCAAGACTAAAAGAGCACACGTGAACTCTGTCAACAGGAACGGACATGCAGAGGAACATCGGTGTAGTGGGCAAGACCCCTCAATTATGATTCATAACAACCCAGACGCCGTGGAAAATAACTAAGGTGAGAGATGAATAAACAGATGAAATGAATAGACTTACCGGCGGTGGGCGGAGCGTTCTTGCAGTAGGCGGTGAGTTCCACTTAAGTTTACATCTCGATCCAAGGAAAGCGTGGCGACCGGAAAAGAAAATACTAGGAGTCAGTAAGGCCTTATGCGTGGTGCCCTACGTAAACATGGCCAAGCTCCACTCACAATGGGCGGAGCGTGCGTTGAAATGTTAGATTCTTCTGACCAAAATCTATAACTCTGTTCAAAAACAATTCAGAAAGCGAGCAAAGAAGTGGTTAGAGGTAAAGTGTAGAAGGAGTGTGATCAAATCCTTGAAGTGGGCGGACTTGCACCAAGGTGAGCGGGGTTGAAAATAAAAATTCATATCCCTGCTCAAAACGTTTTCGAGAGCGAAGAAAGTGGTTAGTGGTAAAATGTAGGAGAAATGTGGTCAAGTCTCTGGAGTGGGTCATAATTCTGTTCCAGAAAGTATACGAGACCGGGGAAATTAGACAAAAGTTGGATAAATCAACAAATCAGACGCCAAGTGTTGCCGAGCTTATTGCATGAACTACTAACCCACCACAGCCTAAAGCTAGTTCTTTGAGGGGTGGGGCTTAGATCGAAAAATTCATTCTTCGTTGTGGCGCACGCGTTAGTGTACAGCACCCAACTAGTAATTTATGCAGCATTATGCAGTTGTTGTTGAGTATATATGTACCCATTCAGTTTTTCACGTTTCAGGTCACAAATGTCGAACATCCTCGTGACGGGTCTATTTTGAGATCTCATAACAGTGCTTCTCATACAAGCAGTCAAACCCTGGAATCTGACATAAGCAAAATAGCGAAAATTAGTGAGTTCTGTATTAATGATGAGTTAAAACAAATCTATACATTAAGATCGAAAATATTAGGCATAAATTTTGATTGCTTCTTGATGTCGTAGTAAAGGATAGCCGTTTCATGAATCAGTTTGTCTGAGCAAAGATCAGTAACAACCAGCGCCTCTTTCAGGTATTGAGGGAGATCGTGGATCGCCAGCAAGTAATTTATCAACCGACATAACATCCGCCGATGATATGCCTGTAAGGCGCACTCGTCATGTGAGAGGAAATAGAGTTCTGCGTGGCCAAACAAATAATGGGAAACAAAAATCTCCGGTTCTTGTTTCAGTATGGCATTTGGTATTCGATCCATTGTAGAATGTCTGAATAGAGTGATTGCGATAAACCGTTTCAGGAATCACCAAATATTTCACTTTCCACTACACCTAAGAGGATAGGGAAAGACGAGGTTAGTGTTGTTCATCACATGGCAGAAATCCAAATTAGAATATTTACGATTTAGAACACTTATGATACGCCACCTGCGAAGAGGACACCGGGTAATATGAACCTATCTGGGGTAAGCTTTTCATCCCGTGGGAGTAGAGAAGCGTTTTTAGAACTATACACTATATCCAGGTTACTCCGAGAGACCCACCAAAGAGGCACGGAAGATGAACATTCTTGGAGTTGCAAGTGTATCTCCGATATATCTTGGTTACAAATTTGATTGGTTTTATTTGCACTGCTAACTAGGGTAATCTCTTGGAGTTTCTTTTTATATCGTCGATGTCATTATGGAAGTTCTTGTGAATGACGGTGTGTTTTGTTGTTTTCTTACTTCTTTATGTTTATTTGTTATTTTTCATGTTATGACAAGCTGAATTGCTACTGCTTTTGTTCTTGGCAATGGCTGAAGCAAATTTTACATGCAACATGGTCTGTGAATTGATTTCATCTTTTTTTGCATCGTTGGTGTGTTGATGTTTACAGCTGTTCCACAGTCTAAGACTTGTTTATAATGAATCTTGTGAATCTAGTGTACTGGGATTATTCACAGAGTACGGTTATTCACCGGCGTCTTTACGAGTGTGCTTGATTAATATAAAGGCGTCTTGTAACTTGATGTGGTGCAGTGGTTACTGCGCGATACACGAAGACGAAACAATTATGGGCCTAGTTGCGAAGATCTTTGAAGAAACCTTTAGGGTTAGAGGATTTAATCTTGAGAATGAGTAGCCCTGGCAGAATTGTGGCAATTAAACGATGTATGATGCAATCAGAATCTGAGATGGTGAATACTGTATGCAGGGAAAAGCAAGCTGACTGGCTCATTGTTCCAGTTCGAAAAGTGTTTTTTAGCTGCATGTATTGTTTCACAATGCTGATGACCCCTCCCGGATTTCTTTTTCTTTTTTAGATGTCGTGGCATACTGATCGCTGTATACTTTTGCATACTAGTCAGTGGGGCTGACGCACGTTTAGTTGGGCATGAAAACAAAAACGTTTTTAAATGAACTGAAAATTTGTGGGATCCGAACACCTCAGCGCAAGCCGCTTCCACTGAAAGGATTCGGCCACGTTCCCTTCGTTAACATGTGGATAATTTTTACTAGAGTTTGGAACAAACTTACAACTTTTTATCTTAGCTTCGCTTACTTCGGTGTATGCTCCTCTATCATGGGTCAGAGAAGACCCATCTTTCAGAACGTTCCGAGGTCATCCCTATCACATACAGCCTCTCATAAACATATGACCAGACTTTCTCAGGTAGTCTCTAGCCATTTTTTTTTGGATCTCGGAACGTTTCTGAATAGGTGTGTATTGTCTCACTCATTTGTTGACCCATTCCTCTCCTCTGTCCATTTTCTTCACGATGTCTGATCTGTTATGGAATCAAATTGAGAAGTTTTGTCCTCGGAACCACCCATTCCGGGGCAAGTCGCACCTTTGCGAGCAGAGGTCTGCCGAGGTATTACGAGCTCTGTTGCTCTTGCCGTGTGCCCCACCTATCCCTAATCTAACCCAACCTTTCTATGTGTTTCTTGAGGTAATGCCAATTTTCATGAGACAGACAGACAAACAGAATGACAGCCAAACATATTGTTAAACAGGCAGACGCGTTCTATATCACTGAGTGGGGGATGTATTTGAAGCAGGCAAGATAGGGAGCGGCAAATTCATTGACCAATTTATAGAGAGAAGTGACCTTCGGAAAATGTCAAGAAATTTGAACGTCGTAGGTGACAAGGCGGTTTTTATAGTCCCATGAATAAGTTACACAGTGAGCCGAAAACACAATCGAGAGCCTCCAAACAACAAAAGAGCGTCCTGGGTGATATCCACGGGTGTGCGTGGTGGTGCATGAGGGGATTACTGTATCACTCACGGGGTGCTGAAATCACTCCAATTCACAAGTGTTGCCCCCCATGCATATTTCTCATTGTACGCATATATACGTATTTTCGAGAATTTCACCTTGAGAAGATGTTGGGAACCTTACTAAGCGCTTGGGGATTAAGTCGAGTTCTGGGAGAAGCTGTACTGGGCATATTTCTTGAACCATCAGACAGACCATCAATCGTGTTAATTTGTTCCACTTTGTTAATTACCTTTTTTGCTTGCGTTTTTGCAATTACTGATCACGACGCAATTACAGCGTAGTACGCGTCTGAGTACTATTCAGCAATATAACATCGAGAATAGTTTTTTATGAATGAGAAATGGGTGGCGGCGGTCTCCCCAGATTCCCACGGCAACGGTTCTGCGGCGACCTCCACGTCCTTCCACTGCGAAATCAAACCTTTCTCTTTATAGCGCGTGTTATAGAAACTTTCACATTCAATAATTAAGAGTGCTGGGTCTACCTTAATAATTAATTAACGAGTGTGTAACTTGTGGGTGGTGACACTGCAGCCTGAAAAAAAGAATGATTCAGTTGATTTCGACCAATTTCCTCTAGAGTGCATTCAAGCACACGACATTTTTCAGAAATTGTAGAGTTATTGGAAAGGGTATTTTGCCTATACAATGGCTTGCGGAGGCCAGGCATATATGAACGCCTTTTTACTCCCTAATGACAAATTTGGCACCAATAAATCGATCCGCCGAGATGGAAGCGTGGGTTGGTGCTAGCAGACAGCGGTCCGATTATACAGAACCCAGCGCGTGGTAGGTTATGTAAGACCAGGCGACCACGCACGCTATCGCGTGCGTTAGGGGCTCTGGCCATGAGGGACGGAGCCGCATGAGCTGATTTTCATTAGAGACTTTTTTTTCAGATTTATGAGTTTCTACTCAAATCCCGCCTCCTGTGGGCGGAGTCTGGTCCTGCCACCCGCCATAAGTGTTTCCATCCTCTCACCTGTGCTCCTACAAAGTTTGAACGCTCTAGTTCCACCGGGACAGGATTCAAGAGTTTCCGCTGACACCCCGCTCCCTGTGGGCGGAGTCTGGTCCTGCCACCCACCATAAGTGTTCCCATCCTATCGCCTGTACTCATTCCAACTTTGAACTTTCTAGGTCCACGGGGACGGGCGTTATGATTTCACAAAATGTTTTCATAAAGCATTGCATTTTCGGAGAACACCCTGCCCGTCGGGGGTGGGTCTCCCCATTTGTATCTAACTTGCCAATGAAACCTCTAGCCACCTTTTAACCCCAGTTTTGAAGCCGTCTTGTGACTGAATTTGAAATCATGGTCCCCAGTGCAGCTAATTTTGATGCACGCCAGCCACGCCCACTATGGGCGGGACTCCGCCAAGCTGGTGTGTGCTCTATACTTCTCGGGACATTTCCCACCCATCCCACGCTTGACCCGGTCTCTCCAGGCACATCTAAAGGAGATAAGGAAATACGTGACAGACATACGACAGACAGACAGACAGAACGACAGACAGACGACAGACGAAGCTCTTCATAGTAAGTAGGATGGGACCGTTGTCTATTGAGCGTCAGTGAACACCACTCCACACCCTCTCAGTTGGCTGTCGCTGTAGCTGGCATTTTTTATTTTCACAAGTAGGGTCGCCCGGCTTACGCCGAGCCTCATTCCTTACTTTAACAAAGTAGTTAGAAAATGTTGTTGGGGTGGGGGTGGGGGGATGAGGAGGAGGGCATCACTTTTTTTTAACACAGAGGGCTTGAGTGCTGAGGAGGAGGGTTAGCTGACCTTACCTGTGCTTCGAGTGTTCTAGACGGGAAAATATTTGATTATTTATATTTTTAATATTTTAATAATTTTTATTCTACGCCCAAGGAGAGGATGAGCGCCGGTATGGGGTACGAATTGAATATTCAATTGACTCACATTGTTGTATAGGCATATATAACACGATGCCACTGCTTCACCCCGCAATGCTTACTCTACTCCATTAACCTACCCACCAAATTACTGCTTCATGTATAAGAAATAAATGTAGGTTAGAGCTGGGTTTTCCATATCACTACCCTCATCGTAATCACAAAGTTTTGCGGACGGACCATCGACAAACGGACAAACACACAAACTGACACGCCAAGTTACTGCTTTATAAATTAGAGAGATATTATTATCACTATGAGAATTATGCATGACAGACTGGGAAATATCTAGCTGCTCGAAACCTGACGACCGTCGCTCCCCACAGTGGGAGCGCAGTCGTTCTCCCACCAAAGATTTGGTCAACATATGCATGGCTCCATGATCAGTTGGTTTTCGGGCAACTACTTAGCCAAAGTCTTCAGGATTTGTGCTGAGGAGTAGAACACGTAGTGCATCCCAAACGGGCTGATCAATTTTTGCCGATGCTCTCATTTTGCCTATTTAAACTCTGCGTCCTCAATCGATGCATCATGAACGATTTATTCGTTAGCACTATCTTATACCAACATAAGCTACATCTAAGGATATGTGCTTCGAAGAAGGAGCTACTTGGAAAGAACAGAAAGAGCGTCAGCGCCAGTGAGAACCGAGAGCAGATTTGGCAAACAGGTGGTCACCCCTTACCAGGGAAGGATCCAAAGTCGAGGCCGTTCGAAGTGAGACCTATACTGCTAGACGTGTTTTCGGATGCTGATCTTAAATCTGCTTTCCAAATTCGCCGAGCGATTCTCTGAGTGGAATCATGAGGCATTTTGGGTGAGGCTTAACATGAACGAACTGTTACATGGATGTGACATGCCTACCAGCGGTAGCTTGGAGCAGCGGTAAGGTTGACGCTTCATGATCGAAAGACTAGAGTTCGGGTTTTATGGGCGCGAGGATTTTCATTATATCGAATTTTTATCCTTGTAGCCTAGAAATTCCCTTGATGTTGATTTGATCGTGTTCTACGACCTTTTGATGGTTGTGGTGACAACTCTAGAACCACAAAAGACTTCTGACCTGTGGGCCATCAATGAAAAGCAAGGCCTAATGGTGAAAGAGTGGGCGGTTGAAAAGAGCAGCTGCATTACTTCATTCACTTTCCTACAATCTCTTGGGGCCAGAGATCGCGAGTGTGCATATAGTTCTGAATTTCTTATAGAGGAATATAGAGGATTGACAGAATCAAGTTTTTGGAGTTGATCGATTCTGCCTTTGAGATGCGCCCCGCACTCGATTACATACATAGTGGCGTGTAGAATGCGTGTATGGTCTATGCAGTGATTCGTGCTTTCATCCACCCAGACTAGTCTGGAACCAATAAACCGAGGAATGGAAAGCTTGGTTGGCCCATACGGAGTTCCGTCTTCTGACCGTCCGTGTGTGATGGTGCGCCCCTGCTACTACATCGCATTCGCCCAACTGTGAATTTAGCGCGAACAGATATGCAAAAAAATTGAAGCGATATTGCATGGTTTGGGTAAGAACGATGTCATCACAACTATTAGAAGGTCGTAGAACACGTTCAAATAAGCATCAAAGGAATTCCTAGGCTACAAGGAAAAAAAATCAATGCATTGCAAGTTTCGCCCTCCCCCCCCCCCCCCCCCCCCCTCACAAAACCCGAACTGTAGTCTTTCGATCATGAAGCGTCACTCTCACCACTGCTTGAATCCGCCGCTGGTAGACCTGTCATATGCATGTAATTCATGTTCGCTTATGTTAGGCCTCCCTAAAATCACCTCATAACTCCATTTATGGAATCGCTTGGCAATTTTGGGAAGCATATTAGAGATCAGCATCCAAAAATACGTCTGGCAATAAAAGTTTCATTTCAAATGGCCGCTTCGGCTTGGAATCGTCGTGTCGCCTTATCTATACCGCCTCGGAAGGACATGGTTTGTAGTCGGGAAATGCGGATAACAATGGAATCATCAAGGGAAATATCGCCTATGTATGTATTTGCCGGCCATATCTCTCGGCGCATTCACGACTCTAGCAACCTGGCCAATACTTCCCAGCGTAGATTACGGAATCCAAGTTTAATGACTTTGAAAACCTTTCACAAATATACTTTTTATATCATTCTCAGGGTGAGAAGCATCCTCTGGTATCTTCTGTTTCATTACTGGCAAACGGATGTCAGAGTTGGGAAGATGGGTAGTCAATATTTTCTGCGGCTTTGATTCTGGAAAAGGTTCATGAGAGCTCCTTGACCTAATAGCCAATTAATTGTGAAGTTTTTCGCTATTCTCTTTCTTTATCTCGAGTTTTGAAAGTGTCCGGACAGCCGAGGTCAATCCTCTTGAGTCTTGTCGTACCACTTCTGAACAGTCGGAAACCCAGTTTTGACGCTCTTCAAGGACTATTCAATCAGGTCAGATTGGGAGGTTTATGGATAGCTTGAGACATTCAACAAAGGTATTATTCAAGAGCTGTTTCAGCTAGATAGGGCTGAGTAATACAGTGCTCCGAATTACCTTCATCAATGATTTAGGGATTAAAGTGAATCACTATTCATGTAGCGAATCACCGTCCATGTAACGAACACATGATTTAGTTTTCCAGAGTTTCGCTTTCCTTCTCAACGTAAGACAGAACTTATCGGTTTCTTAGGCGACGTTACTCTTGATTTTCTTACAGAAATATCTCCATGATGCGTTCAAGAACACCGCAGTTGCAAAATCATGGTTTGTCTTCAAGGTCTAAAATCGTATATGAGTTTGTTGTCAGAACTCTTGGGACGAAAACAAGTTAGTGTATAGAACATTTTTCTTACTTTACAGAGCTTTGTGGTCTTAGGCGGAAGTGGAGAGATGGCGGAGGAGTTGATCGCAACCAGCTCCATCACTCTTTTTTGGGAAATGAACAGATATTTGTTTCAAATCGAAATCAGATCTCAAGGCGAGTTTTGTATTTTTGGATAGAGCGAGGCAGATGAGCAGATGCACAGAATTCGGCATTCACATCACTTTGTTCAAAGCAATTACCGACAAGCGGCGACGGCATGACGGACCATGCCCTTTGCTGACCTTTCGTGATGGCACAGGTCGAAAACAACCTGTTTATTGCTCACTTGACCGTGCTGTTCTTCAGAGGCCCTTGGTGGGTTCAATGATTTAGAACCTAGAATTTTTAGAACTCAGAACCATTATTCGGGATACTGGTAAAAGGGTGATCTGAGTTTCTAGTTAGAGATGTAAAGAGTTGACCACCGACCACTTTCGTCGTCTATGGTGACGATTCCCATCACTAACCTCGCCGTGTAACCGTCTGTACGGCTCCGTCACTTCGGGAATTGCATGTTGAATGGAGCGCTGTATGTCAGAATGACGCTCCAAATCTTTCTCATTTAGCTTCGAATTCTGTTGATGTTATCTCTAGAACCTTCACAGCTTGTCGTTTTACCCACTTGAGGAGTGTAACACTTAATGGAAATGTATCTTTCATCGTAGAACGATGAGGTACGGATTAGCCCAGTTCTATCAGTATAAGCATGAGGTTCTCATAAGGCAAGAAATGATAATTTCCAAAAAAAGAGGAACGAAAGGGAATCACGTTGAGGTCCGCGTACTTTCCTGGCCAAGAATTCCGTGCTTCAGCATCTGACGAAATTGATTACCATCAAATTCCTGTGGTTTGTAGGACCATCTCTGTAGATTCATATGACCAGCACCACTGACCTCATGTAACCTAATCAGCGTTTCATGAGCAGATGTCAATGCTTCACACCTGCGCGATCGTTGACGACCACGATTGATGAGTTCGATGAGGTGTTTTTTCGTGTACCATTGACTTGATGATAAATGAGGCAAATATTGAGCCGTAAACGCCATAGACTAGGTTTGACTTCACGGAATTTCCGTTCACACACTTGAGTGTCTGACCCAATTTATCCTGATGCATTTCTTGTATGCACTTGAAGGAGAAGACATCAAAAAAGAGTTCTTCATCGCGAGCATACGCTTCCCATTTCATTCTCACAATCAGTTAGGATTCTTTTTTCCTCAAACTAGACAGCCTATAGGGGTAAAACTTTATCATTTCTCAAACATCGGTTGATAATCCTGCGAAACATGATTTTCCACTAGGTCTTTCGATCCAAAATATTGTTCGATTAAGTTTTTACCTCATTGACATTGAAATCAACAAGAAAATGTTTATTTCAATTTGGTTTTTACAACTCCCAGACGTCACCGCATTCATCCCCGTGAATCAGTCAATCACCTCAGCACTTGAGAACCAACCTCAAGGACACCAGTGAGAAACCTTGGTGGAATGATGGGTCAAGAGCTGTTGACAGATCACATGCCTCCTTCCATCAAATATACCCCCTTTGAATTCAGGTTTACGCTCAAAAAATGATGAGTCCTTCGCGATGGCTCACTAGCCGGTGCCGGAAACGAGCTGCGCGCCGATTGTGAAGGTCACCTGAGGACAATACCATGCGCGGCATGGCCACTTGTCCAATGAATATGACCCCGGCACATTCGAACTCGAGTACCACAACCAATCCTGGCACCTATGTTTATTTGCCCATTCTCTTTCACTTGTCTATCTTTTGTGCAGTCAAATAACTATAATGGCTCATTCACTTCTCAAGCTCTCCTTACTCTTATGATTCATTGGTTGACCTCGTTTTCCGGAGTAGTATGATAAGTTCGCTCCTATTTGGGACGCAATAGTTTCTGTTGCACCTAAATAAGATCTGGATGCTATCACACCCAGAAATGTGCAGGAAATGGATGTGATAGCATCCAGGGAGTGTGCAAACTCATTATTTAGAATTTTAGCAAGAACTGTAATGGACTCTTGAAGGTTTACCATTCACTCTCCCCGTCATAGAATGCTTCTTACTTATGTCGTAGAAGGCTTTTTACGCTAATTTTCGAAAAAATTGTCTGCAAAGCTGACTAGCAGCGGCTTCCAATAGCCTCTAGGCTTCTCTGCTTCACAACTTCATTTTCTGTTTATCTGCCCATATCAATATCCTTTGCTACCCTTCTTTTGTCGTTTGTCTGCTTATGTGATTATATGTACGTCTGCTCTGAAGGGTATCAACCTTTTTCTTTGTCTGCTTGAATCTGTTTTATAACAGTTCAGACAAACTTTGCACAAATCTTGGATATCTGTTCTCGAACGATTTCTCGTTTCTCGTTCCTTCTTCTTGTCAGTTTACATATATTAGGTTGAATCATGAGTCCTCGGGCAATAGGATAGTCATGACTTCTAGAGATCATAATTCGGGAAAGAGGTGACGAAAATGGACGCGCGTGGCATCGTTAGATAGAGTATAAAATGCTCTTCCAATACATACTAACGAATACACCTAACCCATTCCTGTACTTGAGCGCGAAGAGAGAAAGTGTCATGTCGGCGCGGCGGTCCGTGTCATGCTGTTTCAAAGCATGAGGTTTCGCACCTTGCCGATTGACTTCAATCCACGAATAACTGTGGACTGGCTTTCCAAGAGTGACTGCCAGTTCACGAGTAGTTTGATACGGACTGGCTTCCACCTGGCTCCGCAACACGTCCAAATCCAACTCCATTGGGAGTCGCGGACGGTTTTCATCTTCGTTGGAATAGTCGCTCAACGCGAACTTCGAGTGCCACAAGTAAATCGTGCCATTTAGCAGGAGCAACCTTCTTGTAAATTTCCCTCTACGTCTATCGATCTCCGCGGGTTCTTGGCCAGATAAAAAAAGGAATAGGGTGGTGTCGCAGAGGTGGAGTTGCGACGGCTTGAGATCATGGGGCATGGTTGCAGGAAAGGAAAGAGTTAGGTGTGTTCTCGACATCTATTTGGAAGAGGTTTTCATACTCTATCTAACGATGCCACGCGCGTCCATTTTCGTCGCCTCTTTCCCGAGTTATGATCTCTAGAAGTCATCACTATCACTTGGTCCGAGGACTTATGACTCAACCTAATATATATCCTTTTATATATATCCTTAATATATCTGCCACTTTCTACATTTCTTAATCGTAGACTTTCCCGTTGCTAGCCATATGCTGCGCAAAGAGATTACGCTTAGTGCCAGACATGCTGTACGTGGGCAGCTGGACAATACCAGGCCACGCCTTCTCGACTCTAATTACGATACGCTTCGCCCCCTCCCGACTCTAACCCCTGTGTGCAGGTCCCTCACCACCTGTCCGTGTCACCAAACAACCACCTGCATCATCAAACCCATGTTTCACGAATGGGTATTTCATTCGATTTCTGGTTTTATTTGTAGTCGTCGATCGAATAATAGGCATTTACTGAGTAATTTTTAAAATCGAATAGAGAGTTCGAGTTCATAATATTATGGGGTTCAACGTGATTATAGTAACTATTGGTTGAAATCTTTGGTCCTGGGCTCTTTAGATGCGTGAGAAAATCGAAAAAAATTACCACTCAAAATGAGCCATCGTGGTAGACGGTAAGATAGAGAAACTTCCTCATTTCTATAATGTGCTGCTTGTTAAACAGTTTAGATTATTGCAGTTATTCAAAGGTGGTACAGGGAAGACACTCTTATCACTTCTCAGCGATTGCTCACTTTTAGTCTCTAGTTACTTCATATGCCTCACTACTTTTTACTGCGACTTTTTAAATACAGAAAGGGTTGTATGTGAATGTATGTGTGATCTCTAGATTTTATAATCTTTAGATGTGCTAAAAGGCTCATTGAAACTGTAGCGGTAATGAAAACAATATGATAGCCCTGTTTTTTGTTCTTTTCTATTTCACTTTTATTTTTTGTCAACTTCGACTTTATTCCAATGCTTGCTTTCCATATTAAATGTGATGGAGATTCTGTTCTGCTCAGGATTCCATAATTTTCTCTTGCGGTCACTTTGTCAATTGAATCCACTCAGCAGGGAGGAGAATAAATTACTTCCATCACTTTACTGGGTACCGCTCAGAACTGGTACCATCTAACAATTAGTCCCTCATCTGCTTTTCGTACAAATTCGTCGCATAATAGCATTGCATTAAATCCACTAACTAGTATGTGGTGTGAAATTGCTCTTATATGACAAGCGTAACCAGTTTCAGGGGTAGGAGGTGTAGTGGCCAGTGGCGCCCTATCTCACACGCATGGTCAGGGGTTCGAACTCCGGGTCATATCCCTCTAGGCCAACCCAGCCTTCCATCCCACAGGTGTCGGTTAATTTGTACCAGAGTTGTCTAGGAGGATAAAAGCACTGTCTCATATCGGCTGGCCACCGCAAGTCATTGTATAGGCCACATATGCACCATTACGCCAGTACGATTCTGAATGGAAGTCGATTGCGGGGCTCATCCCTCAGATGGGATTGATTAATGCCTTCCAAGACTTTACCCTTCTTTGTTAGCAACCTAACAACTGGCTTTCGTTTTTTTGTTGTTTTTTTCAACATATGGCCCTGTAGATATCGTTTGCCTGACCCTGGTACTTTGGTCAGTGAAGTATAAAAACATACATAAAAACCTATTATTTTATAATTTACTAGTTGGCCTACGCACGCCAACGCGTGGACCACATGCCCACTACCGCTTACCTACGACTTGTTAGAGGACCAAATAAACAACATCGGTTGACTTCCCGTTTTAAATTAGCGGACCAAATAAACAGCATCGGTTGACTTTCCATTTTATAACTGTTTCCTCATCACGCTCACGTGACATTGACACTCTTCATCGCGCCTAAGTGACTTTCGGAAAGACTCACAAACGGGGATACAAGCAGACGCACAAAGTTACCGCTTTATATATAGAGATTTCAAGCATTCAATACGGGCATTGTACGTGGACGTGGATTTCCATTTTTAAATAAGAACGAACAATGAAGTTCGTTCACTCAGGTCGTTGAGCTGTGTCTTTATTTATTATTTATTTATGCACTCGGAAGTGCGCTTGTAACAGAAACTTCACCAGTTAGATAACATAAACATACTAATTGCAGAAGCAAACACAGATGAAGGTAGAACAACGTAGCATAATGGAAGGCATGGTAGTATTCTTAGAATAAAGCAACAACAATTGACAACTAGACTACCTAGCTGGAAGCACTCTTTAGAATTATTTGATCACATATTTTTTTGCTTTGCTCTCAACGATGGTCTCGAACTGTAGTGAAAAGGCGGGAGTTGAATATCATCTTGGCTATGGGAAGAAAAGGGGACGGAGTAATGGCTACGCATTCCTTGGAAACGAACCGCGACACAGACCCACGTCAGTCGGCTGTGACGCCCAGTCGCCACGTATGGGGTCATAGGAGCTTGACGAAACTTCGGACCGCGGGTATACCGACCACCCACGTGGAAACGCCAAGCTAGTGTCTTACGGTTGTGGAAGACTGCAGACTGTGTGAAATCTGGATACGCGTTCGCTATGTCTTTTTCTGGAAAGACAACGAGGCGTGAGATATTTCGCACCGTTCTCGTTGCCGTCATAGATGGCTATCTATTCGTGAGTGTATGTGTGTATGTGTGTGTGCGCAAGTTTCTGTGTACGGCGCAGATTAATAGATTCGCGAAAATGCCGGTAAATCCGAGCTGACACCTATCCGCATAGCTTGTACTCGCAAGCAAACAGTTCTCAAGCAATGGCACTCGGCTATCATGGCATTTGTGCTCACACGACTGTAACGCGTGTAGAACTTGGTTAAGACTTATTCGCTTTAACTGTTTTCTTCGTACATATTGGACTTTCACTCTCTCATTAGTTTTCTAAGGGTCGGCCGTCAAAGTATTGCTTGTTAAGGTCTACGGAAATAAGTATCTATTGTATACTTTGTGCAAATCCTCTTTTCCTTCAGTACTGAGCATGAGAAAAGGGAAGGTAATTGACAGAAATGAAGAGGAGATAAGTATTTTCCTGCTACACCTTCCAGTGCCTCCTCTTTGAACCGCGATTATAATTTCCGTTCAATTTCGCAATTTCTTGCCAATTAGGTTGCTAACAGACCTGTCTGTATTCTTTGGTTTTGAATTTTGTTGAAAATTAATATGGAGCTACCCAGAAATACCAATCAATACTTGTCGTTTTCAGATCAGATCATCTTATGTCGTTCTAGATGATCAATGTTTTTGTTCTCATCCATCATCTATTGGCTAGTCACGAATGTATTCGGTGATTTCCGTGAAACGACTGAGTTTTTCGCAATATCTGAAGGTAGTTTTGTAAATTTTTTCTTTTGAATTCTGTGGGATTAGTGAGGCCGCTAGATCAGCCAGAGACTGCTGTTTGAAAGTCGCTGTCAAAAAACATGATTTTCGTCAACGTAGTTATCGTTGAACAAAGTTAAGAAGATAATCGAACTAAAGTTTTTCAGATGTCTGTCTTACAACAGATGCGCTTCTGTTTGTTTGATACCCTTTTTTGTTAAGGTCTACAATTTTTTTCTGCCTTCATGCCTGTTATCGCTGAACTCGCTCCAAACCTTCTATGTAGTAATACAAAGCGAATATCACAGCAAGGGTGTGAAGGTGTTCCCTGAAATAATATTTATTTCGAGAAAAAAATATTCCTAAAAGCAGGAAAAATGGAGGTCGGATCAGATTACCATGATGGAAGTAACACGGTATTTATTTATTTATTTTGATGCACGCAGAGGTACGCTCTAAAAAAACAGCGAACTAAAACATCAACGACATAATAGAGTCAAACCTTACAACGGTTGGTCAAGATTTGTCTAAGGAGTTCAACCTATTTCGATTATATTATCCAATACAAAAATATTTTGTCCTTCACCAATTCTGTGGTCGTATCTGAACGATATGTACACCTTTGCGAAGTCGCTGATCCCGGCATCAGCTCCAGTCCTCCTAGGTCTCTCTCTGAGATGCAGCCCTATTGGTGTTACATTTCTCCTCCCATACTGAACCGCAATTTATAAGCGCAATGGCTGGCGCCACCAAATCGAGCATATGATGGCCAGTTTGAACCGGTTGGTCTGTAATTAGGAACTCATCTCCCATTCTCAGGGACACTTGAAAAAGCACGTGGACAAGTTGCAATTTATACACAGGATATAATATGGAGGGGGACGGTCAAGTCGTGTGTCCGAGGACGCGCACGGCAAATTGCGCGGCGAAGTTATTCTGACGACTTTAGCGTCTATTATTTGGGCCCAATTTTGAAGTACAGTAGAACAGTAAGATCAGCTGACCTCACTAATTTACCCTACTTCAGATTTGGGCCCCAATGATAAACGCCGCAGTCGTCCAAACTTGCCACGAACTTCGCTGCGCAATTTGCCGCGCGCGCCCTCGGACGCGCGACTTGACACACACCCAATATGGAGCTGTAACGGCGTGAGCTTCAATGTCGAGCGAGCAGAATAACGAAAAATTATCATAAAGGCAGTAGCAATCAGTATACTTGATCACAGGTAGAAAGCGGTATCGCTAGCCACTGCGCCATCACACCATTGCTATAAGGAAGCCTATATGATATACTTAAATTGGCATAATCCATACGTAAACCATTGAAAAGGTACTATGTAACTTTTAAGCAAAATGTTAGGCCTCAAACGGAGCTGGAATCCACTTCCAGAGCTTTTGTGTATGAAGGCTGTTAGTGAGGAAAGACATAGTATATCTGTGTATGTGCCTATGTACATACATATGTTGCACGTAATACTGCTTCGACGATATTTCTTCGCAGGATTTGCTTTAGATTACTTACTTAGTTTGATTTCTTTATCATATTTGCGCCTTTGTCCCCTTGGTTTTATATGCGTTTTTGGCTGCTTACCTCACGTAGACTTGTCTACGCTTTCAATAAATAAATAAATAAATATTTCATAACCTTAGTCATCGAGGTTCGAGCAGTTTTTTTGTGAAGCTCAAAGAATGTAATAGAAACTTTCAAATGATAAAGCTAGGACTCGTAATCAGTAAGCAAAAGCAGTTGGATAAAAAAAATCAATGGTTATGATAGTGATGATAACCTCCACCGTATGGAATCCAGGACAAGTGCAAAGGAAATGGTCATTGTTCTTCGTAATTGATATCGTATTACAGAAGCGGCAGTCGGTTCGTTGGTCGGCCAACTCCATTTGACAAGCGACTTCAATTATCGTGTATCCGGCGTCAATCATTACTTCGATTTTGACCCAGTAACTGGATGGGTGAGTCGATGACGTTCTCATTACTCAAACAACTTGCAAAGATTGAATTTCATGAATATGGCTGGACATATCGCACTTGCACCCTCTCGGGCTTAACATCAGGATTGAGTTGTAGATTTAAAAAATGAAATTTGCATGCGCAAGACATCAGGTCAAAAAGTGTTCATCATTTCTGAGCATCCAACATATTACCCGAATTTTGTTTTGAATTTTTTCTCGAACACTAATTGTAGATGCAAAGACGGGCCGTTGGAACGGTTTTGTGTGATCGATCCGCCGCACGCGGCTGTCGCGGACCATTTGCCTCGTTATAACAGTTCTAGCTTTTTTCATACAGCTCAATCACTATGCAGTTATTACTTGTGGCATAATTCTACTATTACTTCTTTTATTCCTGAATTTCTTACTTGCTGCTGCATTCTACTAGATTCCTTCGCGCGCGGAGTCTCTCTCGCCGCTACGCGACAATTCCGTTCCTACTGCACCACACTCATGTGTCTTTTAGAAAATTTCTTCCTATGTCAACAAGGAAAGATTGTGTCCTGAAGCCAACTCTTATAGCACATCGATGGTCTTTACTGTATTGCCGGACGATTTTCTTGAAGGCCGGATGAGCGCTCGATTTTTCATGCTGAGACGAGCTACTGAATATTTGAATTTATCATTTACTCGGATAGGTGTTGCCCAAAAGCTGAAAACCGCAAAGATGAGACGCTTTCACTTCTTCCTATACATAACCTTAACCCATTGTGTGCTCACCGCTCTCAATGGGGCCACCTTAATAAGGACGTGATAATAATGGTTGACTTTCGAAGATTTTTATCGTCACAGGATCCTGTAGGTTATGGCTCTGTAAAAAAACAATTAGGGTAGTCCGACAATACATCCCTTCTGTACGAGGCTTTTAACGCGGTCGTTATTTTGGAAAAAATTGGTTGGGAACAAAAAAAGTTTGTGAACAGGCATTACGTAAAGTTGTTACTGATACTCTTCGACTGTCTTAGGGTTGGAGGACCAGAAAAATTCAAATATTCAGAACACAAAGGTGATTGTCTATTGACATCAATGTTGACCCATTTCTCTGATCTCGCGTACTATCTATTTTGACGAAATTTTTTTTTCTGCTTGCGCCTCCCTCACTTCACTTAATCTGAAAGCCATGCCCATAGCTAATAAACTGAAGTCAATCGGGTAATGAAGTGCATAGAAGAAAATAGAGCTTTCCTTATGGGAAGGGAAAGTTCGCCATATAACTCTCGAGTAGAAGACAGAAGCGCCATCTCTGAAAGTGATCACTATACAAACCGTGATCTTTTCCTATTTTTATAATGTTCCCATCAGTCCAGACTCAAACAAATACGATGGGATTTTCACAGTGAATAGTTCCCTTCTGAGAACATCTTATGTAGTCTGATCAGTTATACAAAGCCTGAGGATTTCATTTTCAGATTTCTCTCCGCCAGACCTTGGATCGAGAAGAGTTACACAATGATACTTTGGAGTTGCTTTTGGTTTCCACTCCACCATCTCTCATTCATGTTTTCATTACCGTTCTCGACGTTAATGATAATACGCCAAGGTTTCCGGTTCCCTTTCAGGTGCAGACTTCGTTGTTGAAGACTTCGTGATTTTTTACTTTATTTTGTAATCTTTGATTTAACAAATAATTTCCATGTTAGGCGTACTTTAGGTGCTGTAAATTGATCATTTTGGTACATAGTTGCTTCGAACCGTAGGTTTTAAGCTTTGACGGACGATCGCAGGAACGGCTAAACCATTCATACTGCTTGGATACCCAAATAATTTTAGGCCATGTTGTTCACCTTTCTTTGATTTCGTTTTTTGAATAATGTATATTATCGTGAACAATCTGATTTACATACACATCTAAGAGCCTTACTACCTTAGATATTTCCATTTTTTTTTNTTTTTTTTTATTTGCCTAGGTGGACTACTCAATCGGTGAAAGTAGTTTTGTTTTTCAGAATATTTCTGTGATTGAATCGAGCGCTGTGGGCACAAGGATACCATTGTTACCTGCTGTTGATACGGACGCTGGTGATAATGGTGCCATAGTCGAATACGGTATTGAGGACAATACTACTCAATTCGAACTGGTCTACGAAAATCCTGGTTTACTATATTTGGAAGTGAAACAACCACTGGATCGTGAGAGTAACCAGATGGTGGTGCTCAATGTATCGGCTAAGGATGGAGGCATACCGTCGAGGTAAAGCAACCAGTTTTTGAATCAACTGTTGAGTAGTAAATTTTCGTTAAATTACATATTTCGCCCACGATAGGTGGTAATGGTAAAAATTCAGTACAAGAACATTATTTTTCTTGCGTCCTAGACGTGAGAGCAGAATCGGTTCCTACCTGCTTTAATTACTCGCTTGAGGATGAAACAAAGTTTTTACATTTTTCACAGCCTTTGCATCCTTCCATTGTTCTTGCATTGCGCATCTCGGAATGCACTACAGTAAATAAACAAAAAATGGGTATAGAGGCTGCTGTCTTCCATTCTGCTCTGTCCGATCGAGGCCAAATGGGATAGGCATAAAATTACGGGTTGTAAAAGGATGCCAGATCACGTAAGGGGACAATTGCGATTTACGGATTAGCGGACTAGGGGAGGAGGATTGGGTCGCAAAATTACGTCATTATAAGACATTGGAGGAATAGTTTTACTTGAGGCATGGCATAAGTTTTGGACAATTCGTAAATTTCTCAGTAGGGACTATTGCGAAAGCTACTACACAGTGAATTCAGAATAAGGGATAGGAAGGGATCGATTGTTCTATGTTTATCATTCCGCTAAATTGTGCTACTTACTGATTTCCCAGTTTGGAAAGACCTTTGAAAACGCGTTTAACGATGCTTACGTATGGTTAGCCTATGTTTAGCTCGCAGTGTATCTTTTTGATAAACTCAGTGTTTTTTTGATGGAATTCGAGCTCACAACAGTTCATATTCAGGGGGTCTTCTCATAGGGGACCACAGCTCTGCCTGATCTCTCACGACTTGCATCCACTGTAGGCTGCTTTCTCTGGATATTTGGAAAACGAATCGACCCACTGAGTCGACGGACGTCCTGATGGTCTTGTTTTATTTCTCGGGAGCCACTTTTTGACTCGGAGGCTCCATCTGTCAGCTGCTCGACGAAGTAAATGACCGGCCCAGAGGTGCTTCGAATGTGCCATGTATTGGAGCGGGTCTTTCAAAGGCGAGCTCTCCTTTAGGTCTGAACTTCGCAAGCCTTGTTGCCACTGTTGACTTCAACTGATTTCCAGAAAACTTCTTTCAAGCGCGTGATGAGAAGTTTTTGTACCTTCAGCATAAGAACCTCTCATCCTCTCAACTGCTTATAGCGTTTTGTTGTCAGGCCACGTTTCCAGATTTGTCTGTACTTGCAGGAGCAGCGCTCCTTCAAGGCCTTATCGTTTCAGGTCTGAATCGTATAACCATGAGCACTTGAAAATCGGTTCATTACGCCCTGTAGTTACTCATACTCGATTAGTTACTGATAATTCCTCAGGATCGGCTACGCAACCCTCTACGTCGACATCGTCGATGTAAACGATAATGCACCGACATTTGAGGCGCGGGAATTGGAAACAAAATGGACAGGTGAGAGTGAATTTGACGATTTCCCTAATAAAATTCTGTTTCACACATTATTTCCATTTATCGAAATTATTCACATTGGACTTCAGTTCCACATTCACAAGGGAAATCAGGATACTGATTCCAAGTGTCTAAAATTCTGAAGTTGCCTTTTAAGGCAGTGCAATGACACCGATCCTCATATTGAATGCGACGGATGCAGATCGTGGCAAAAATGGTGAAATTACCTACAGCATTCCTGGGCCAGAATCGGAACACTTCTTTATAGATGGAAACCGCGTCTTTGCAAGGGTAAGCCATCTCTTTTGTACATTTTTCAGCCATAGGCGAGTCATTTTTGCTTTCTGGGGAAGCGATAAACCATAACATTGTTGAGTCCTGCGGTATTATTTGTTTGTTTACTTTTTTTTGATCATTGCCGTGCTCCCCTTTCACTTCAAATTGACAGCAGGTGTGTTTGTACTTACTCAGCCGTCTCTTCACCGACCTCACTATCTTGATTCCCGCCCATCATACCAACCTTCCGTGAATTATAGGGTGGCTGGTCTCCAAACAAATAATACCGCAGGAAATAACAAGTATCTGTTACCGTATTCCAAATTGTTGTTGACATAAGCGTGAGCGGGAATAAGTGGGAAAGCAATGAAAAATTAACCTATGTAAGGTGTGTAGTTGCTTCATTGTAGATAATATGGAGAATGATTTCTTATGAGCTTATTTGGTAAATGATTACTATCGAGAGGTGAAGGTGAAAATTGTGGAGACGAAGTCAAAGGTTTGATTGCGTAACTCTCCTACAGAAACCGCGATTTTGCTCCTAATTAGACCCTCTAGAACGTTGTACAGTGGGAGATGGGCATATCAAGTGCCAATTCAGGCTTTCCAATTGAGGTAGCAACTAAATAGCCTAATAGTATTCCCTGGCGCTCTTCTGCAAGTGAAGCAGATGGATGGAAACCAGGGTTGGGTAAAATAGCTCCTCCAGCATCACTGCTGTGGTGAATAGGCTGGATGACCACTCAGAATTACACTACCGGTAGTAACCAGGCAGTAGCAAGTAGGATCGTAACATTATCGGGTCCCTCAGCACACAGTGACCACCAAACTTTTTTTTTTAAACGAAATTTCAAATCGAATTCTTCACGCCATGTTAGCGTCGTTGACCTTGGTTGGTGCGTGTCGCGTACCTATCGACCGTCAACGATCCCTGTCAGGAATTGTCCGACTCACATAACGTGCCACTTTGATGTTCGCCGACATTGTCAAGAAAAAACTGCCGCTGTTTGAATAGCTTGTAATGGAAATTTATGGATTGAGAATAAAAGGGATCCTTTTGATAGAAAGGGCCAGGGTTGTGGATATTGATTAATCCAGTATCAGAATACGCTATGTACTCTAGCTTTGTTCGAAATCACAAAGCCTTTTGAATGCGTATAGGGGCAATGGCTGGTAAACGGGACGATGTCCCATTATTTCGATCATTAGGTCCGTTATTTTTCGATTAGCTTTTCATGAACACTAAGATAAGTACTAACTTACACAAAGAGTAGCTGTAATTATCAGTTTTTATTAAAATACACTAGCTTACTTTCAGAAGGACTCCCCAGCATGCTGCCCGTCACCACCTTGTTCAGTTTGCTTTGTTTCGCTTCGCGCTGCCGATCATGGTACTCCTCCATTGGAGAGTACAGCACTGCTCAGGATACTGCTTAGCAACGAGAATCTTCATGACCCGCAAATAACTATAAGGTGGGTATAATTAAGTGGATATTCTACGAATCAAGAAAGAACCAGTCTATTGCAGATTGCATCCTTCAACAGTGGATTTTGCACTGATTGAAACAGGTGCTACCGCTGGCAAAGCTGTGGCTGTGCTCACGGTAACTGATGAGGACGGTCCGCTGACAGGTGAGTCATTTCTGGGCAGGTTGTCAGATAGTTTTTGACAGTATATCCTGAAGAAGAACTAGAATCAAGCAATGCCGATAATATCACTACCGATAAAGTTTCCGCCACTGTCAATACCGTTCCGGAGGGTGCTCATGCATTCAACTTTCATAAGAAGCCATGTGGACTTGTTCAGTCAATCTTTATACAATGACTGGGGGACAAACCAACCACTGTTATCTACCTGTCATTGTATTATCCTTCAAAGGAGAGTTTGGTACCAGACGTCTAGTTGACAGAGGCGATAGTACGCTTTCCCGTACTCACGCGCTCATCAGATCCTATACACCTTCCCCCATCCAGGCGCCATTCCAAAGTTGTCTTTTCAAGGTAAAGCCAACTGATAAGTCGCATGAATCGCCTTATTGCCTTATTGAGAGAATCTCACGGTTTTGAAACCTAAGTACTTAAACGACTTTCGAGACACTCCCTTGCACGTCTTCCCAATTGTTCAGATATGCCCTCAGTTCGGATAGCCTTGTAGAACATAGGAGAAACAACTTCTAAAGAAGGAATGGCAATCTTAACACAGAATGTCCCGAAATTATGGGCGTCTATTCATTGCAAAGTATTATATTTTAAGCTCCAAAGCTGAGGATGAAAATGAAGTATGCATACTCGTTCTATTATATTATATACAACAACAAGCTTCGATCACCCTTCGAATATCTCCCGATAGCAATAGAGGCCCAGAGTCTGTTTTCACTCTGTTTGTATGCTGAGCTATCTCTCCATTTCTTTCCGATCGTTCTTGAGCCTTACTCTCAAAGACTCCAAACTGGGACTGCAAATTCGGCAGGTGCTGTCCTACATAGTCAAGGACCATACGGAGAAGTCAAGTTCAGCTCAAAGGCACAGTTCGCGATGATTTTGGGTAATCCAGATTATGACGAAAAATGGAAGATAAGATGGAAAATAGTGCGATGAAGGCGAAGAAACTGCGTAATCGCTGTTTCCAATGTGAAATAAGGCTTTGAATAATCGTTAAAAAGGGGCTGGAGGAAAATGAGACCAGAACAGTACTAGTGAGTGCTCCTATCCTCCCAGACGGGTATGCTACTAATTGACCGACCCGGAGGGTGGAAGGCTTGGGACCCTGACCAGTATCTATCCGAGGTTTGATCCCTGAGCTATGAGTGCGTGATATTGCGCAACTTGCCATTGCACCACTCCCATCCTCATTATATTCGAATACTCATACTGATGGACTCAGCTGAGTGGCACTGTTGTTATTCTTCGTTGCCGGTTCAATTCCGCCCATGCTCATAATGTTTTAGAATCCTCATCTGTGTGGATCGAGTCCGGTAATGAAGACGGTGTTTTTGTTCTGAGTGTGCAAAAACAGTTTTCGATACTGAAACTCCTCGTAAATGCCCCCAATATTACGAAATCCCAATACAATCTGGTATTCGTCGCGAGCGACGGACAACTGCCTCAACGTCTAACCAATGCAACACTTAAGGTGATACTGAACTTAATCAATTTGGTTTAATTTTTCTTGTGAAACCACCGTTCAGGTTTATAATGAAGCGAAGTTGACGACTTCACCGGTAGTTGTCGAACAAGAATTGAGCGTTTCTATATCGGAAGACTCACCTGTCGGTACATTTGTTGCGCAAGTGCATACCAATTCATCCGGATGCAAGTTCGTCCTGAATGATGATGTACCTTTCGCAGTTGATTGGAAAAGTGGTAAGAAATTTCTCAGGAGATTACTACTACCTATTTAACATTTTTTTATGACCTCAGCTTATGAATTCTCGTTTTGTCCTTATTAAGGATGTTTTTTTTTTTTTGAGTGGATCACACTTATGAATTTTGGATATGTGTATCACTTTCAATGCATCAGATTCCATAAAATTTGGGACCATGCATCTCGTAAGGTCCTACACTATAGACATATAAGTGAAAACTTCATCAGTGAACTTTATCAGTGAAAACTAGTTTTTGTAAACCAGTTTCTCCTAGTTGATTACATCGAAAGCTCCCACATTGTTGTAAGGTTTGGGAGGCTGTTATCGCTAAACTTCCATGAGCAGGTTAGAATACACATAAGGTTTAAAGAGTCAGGTTTTACAATGATTGTATGAGGTAAACCTGGAGTCTAATGCTTCTCCCGCTCTCAATTATTACTAATTATTTTAACTTTGCCCTCTTTTCAACGATAATTCGTCATTTGAGGAATAATCACTACTACATCGACGTTGGACGTGAACATAAAAGACAACTATGCGCTAGAAGTTATGGTTCAACCCCCTCCACCAAGTATTCATTCTGTAATGGCAACGGTTACCGTGATGATCACCGATGTTAACGATCATGCACCATCACTAATCGATTTGCCCGATCGATTATTGATTCCTGAGGATACGACAGTTGGAAGTGTAGTGCTCACTGTGAAGGCTTCTGACATGGCAAGTTTTTATTTATTTATTTATTTATTTATTTATTTATTTAATACACCCAAGGGTGTGCCATACAACGCAAAAGCAAAAACTGAAAGTTACCCTAAAATTCCATAGATAAGAGCGGGTGAACCTACCGGTGAAAAATGAATTGGAAAAAATCGAAATTGAATGCAGTCACCCCTCTAACTTGATGGATGGATAAANTTTATCCATCCATCAAGTTAGAGGGGTGACTGCATTCAATTTCGATTTTTTTCAATTCATTTTTCACCGGTAGTTTCACCCGCTCTTATCTATGGAATTTTAGGGTGTATGTACTTCTGAGTTACAACAGCAACAATGATAGTGTATTCTAATGTTGTTCTTTTTTGTTCAGATTCTCAAATTGTCGATTCCAGTTTTGTTTTTATCAACTATGTTTTTTTTCTTTGAGGTGATCATACTTATGTATTTTGAATATTTGTATCTCCGCCACTGCATCAGATTCCATAAAATTTGCGACCATATGCCTCGTAAGGTCCTACACTATATATAATGGGATGGGTTCAGCTTTCATTTTCTTGGTAAACCTTTTGTTAAGGATCGCGGTGACAACGCCTTGTTACTGTATCGGCTTTTGAACGGAATCGCGACAGAATACCTATCCATGGATTCGGCATCCGGCAAGTGCACATTGAAAAAGGCCGTAGATTTCGAAACAATCCAAGGTTTTGACTTGGAAATCGAAGTGTGTGATCATGGCCGTCCGGAGCTATGCAGCTCTACCAACTTACCAGTTTTCATCCAGGTACGATATTACTTTTGTGAATAAAATTCAAGAAGTGATGTTCATTTACTTTTCAGGACATCAATGACAATGCGCCAGAGTTTCCCTGCACTGTGATTCATTCAGTACTGCCCTTAAACTCATCCCCTGGCACCGTAGTCGCTACAGTATTTGCGAAGGATCGTGACTCAGGCAGTGCTGGACAGGTCCACTATGCGCTACTGGATGCCATCACAGGCTTTTCGATAGACAGTTCCAGCGGCATCATCCAAACGACTGGAACACTACAAGCTGAGCAGTATAGTGTAGGTTATGTCAGTGATTACTTTTTGGTAAAGCTGAGAGTACAACGGAGAACGCAAAGCTTCAGATTCGAATCGGAGCCTCCGATGGACACGGTGTGATGTCAACGAGTAACGTTACAGTAACTCTTTTCACTACCAAGGAGAAGCCTTTGAAGTGGACGAGCGGTCCCAATACGATTGAATTGGAGGAGTCCACTTCATTGGGCGACACACTGGCTGTCTACCACACAGTAACCTTTTCTATCTTAAACTTGCTTTTTGAGTTAATGATTTGCAGGAAGTGTAAAATCAGGAAGTACAAATTGAGAATAAGAAATGAATAATCGTGGTTTTACCACAACGGTTTCACCCGCTATGAATACCTCTTAGTTGCGGTTTCGAGCAGATTCCATTAAAGGGAACTGAAATTCGAGGAAAACTCCGAATTCAAAAACAAATAGCTGGTGGGGTAGATTCGCCACGACATATCGTATCTATCCTGAATTCGGAAGTAGTTTTTGTTGCAACTTTATGTATTTTGGCTTTCCTTTCTTGAATCCCAAGTGCTCAAGTACCGCTGTGACGGCAACGCGACAACTCTTGCAAAACCCCTTTCGGAGTCAACAATACATATGTATAGTACTGTTAAAGTAGTTCCTTGATGAATCCATCTTTCAGAGCTCTCCTTCGTCACTGGCATTGATGTCGGATTTGCTATCAATCAACTCCATAGGCAGTTTATCCCTTGCTCAACATCTTCCAATAATCGGCAATCACTTCTATGAAGTATTGATCGCCCAGTCTGACCAAGTCTCCATCACCAAATGTATAGAACTGCATGTGATTCGTGATTCTCCGAAACCTTCATTCCCAAAGAAAAGCGTTTCTTTGAAGTTGAAAAGAAATATCCCACTTGGCGAGCAGCTTATGAAGGTGAGAGCTTCTTAGCAAATATCAATATATAATATCAATATGTATTGGTAACCTGTTCGACGTGATTTTCTTTGTGCTTAGGTCGATGCTGGAGGGCGTTTTAACTTTTCTACTGATTGTCGTTGGCTGCACATTGATAGTGATGGAGTAGTCTCAGTAAGGCAACTGATCGACAAGTCCATAAATAGTGTGAAATGTGAAATTGATGCGAAAGATTGGAAAGGGAGAAGTGATCAAATGGAGATATGGATGACCATGGAAAACGAGGAGAGGGTAGGTTTCGTCTCTGACAGTGCTTACACCGTTGCCTAATTTGAGCAAAGCTCAATTTCAGCCTTTCCGCCTGAACGCCACTTATAACGTGCACGTGAAAAGGAGTGCTCGGGTTGGTACGATACTCACCCGCCTTGGCAATGATTCCGCCTATGTATACAAAAACGTTTTAAAAACTTCGGTCGACGTGTTTCCAGACGGCAGCGTCTATTTAAAGGGGGCAATTAGTGACGGCGGTCCCGACCTAATTTCCCTGCCAGTCACTGCCACACATAGGTGAGTAAACCTAGTTCTTTAGTAAAGGTGCACCTTCACTGACTCTAGACTGGGCAGGAAACCTACATCAAAAATGGTAGCCCAATTGAAAGCTCCTTGTTGGGCATTACCAATCGCTCAACCCTCGTACGGGCATACCGGAACTTCCCATTTGTACCGTTTTTTTTTTACCAATCCCAAGGAGTTGGCCACCGGTTGCCCTTGCCTTGGAGTCGATCTTATTTAGAAACAATACTTGACAATAAATAAGTATTAGAAGGATTCTGAGATAGTTAGTCACTACTCAAAAAAGTGAACCATTCTTTTCGGGTCATTTTCGCTCTTAGCTAAGAAATGTCCTAATTCGATAATATTTGCAGGTTTCTCAACAACACCTACTCTACAATGGTTCACGTCTTCCTTGACGAAGTCAACATCCACAAACCTCGGTGTTCTTTAAGAAAAAGCTTTGAAATTGAAGAAAATCTTTCTGTCGGGTCAGCAGTAGGTTACCTTGAAGCAGAGGACGACGATGTTGGATTGGGTGGGGTGATCGGCTATCGACTTCTCGACAATCAAAACCTGATTCGAATTGGAACAGTTTCTGGGAAGGTGCTTGCCTGTATATTCATGATTCATCTAAACTATTAACAGTCATGCAGTTGATGAGCTATTTGCGGGCGCCGACGTGAAGCGACTCCATGAGAACTATCAATAGTTGAGCGCAAAAAAGTGTCAAAGCACTGGAAAAATGGGCATAGAACAATGGTACCACAGCTGGCGACATGGCTATAAATTCTATTTGTCGTGACTTATTAACTGCCTTGTAGTAGTTGACGTTGGAAATCAGTGCTACAGGACTGCATTTTTTTTTACCTCGTTGTTCCTTTATTATGATTACTTGATATACAATAGTGGCCAAAAGTCTTTGGTGAAACGCCTTTCCAATGTAACTTTTTTCCTAGTAGATGGATTCAAGAAAAATTTTGATATTTCAAACCTCGCCTGAAACCGAACCAGTTATACTTTTCGGCTTCAAAACGGGGAGATTAGACGGCTACGCGCAGAGGTTCTACTACAGAAACGATTTTCTTGAATGCAAGGTTAGCGACAATTGCATTCTTTGCATCCCTTTTGTGCTCGACTTTAGTACTCGTACACCCAAGGCATGCATAGTCATTCAAGGATTTCGGCTGGCAGCAGACGACATTAAGGAATCGGGCATGAAAGTCACGGTCACCTCAAGAATTTTGAAGGACTCACAGCAGACGATTTCTTCGGCTATCCCATGCTAGCAATTCAGAAACTGTGTTTGCAATGCTTAGAGGAAGGGATACTCCGAAGTGCTTTGTCATCCAGGGCAGAAGGATCACACTTCGGTCGGGGGCTAACCCCCGCCTCACTGCGGCTGACTGCCGCTGAGTTCAGCACCTGCGGTAGCAACATTGCTTGCCGTCAGACCGTAGGAAAACCCCTAAACAGCGCTAGTGTTTATGAGAGGCGTCCGACCAAAAAGCCGTTCATCAGTACAAAAAGTAGGAGAGCTAGAGTGGTGTTTGTGCCCTGCCACCTCAAGTGGACGTCGACTAAATGCAGTAGAGTTCCTTCTACAAATCGGCGCAAGTTCAATCAGTTGGGAATCGATGGTATAAGCTGCGGACGACGTCCGCCTGAGGAAAGGTTCAATGCAAACTCACCCTACCCACAACTGTACATGGTGGAGGAAGTGTGATGGTATACGGTGCCTTCCCCTCGAACGGAATGAGCCCTGTTTTGAAAATTCGACGTCACGTTGACAGGGGAGTTGTACAAGAACATGACGGTCGATATCGTCTTGCTATGGGCACAGCATCACATGCCAGCAGGATAGATCCTGCAGCAGGGTAATGATCCGAAACAATTCTCAATAGTTGTGAAGGCGGCCTTCAGCGGACAGCGAACCATACTTCTGGAGAGGTCCAACAAGTCATCGGATCTGAAACCAGTAGAGCACATATGGGGAGAGCTCAAAAGGCGTTTTTCGAGCAAACGTTGCGAAAACAGCGAAGAAAAATTCGCTTAATAAGCGAAGGAGCGAAGGAGAGAACGCCATGTCAGTGTCTACCATTCAAAAACTAATCGACTCGATGTCTCCCCATTGCGAAGATATCATCGAAAATCGAGGCTCTACTACCAAATATAACATGTTTCTATTCCGAAATAAAGCGGTTTTATTAGGTCGATGCTATCTGTATGTATTTTTCACTGAATTTGAGTTAAACCTCAATAACGTAACGTGAACAATAGCAAACTGCAGTTTATCAGCGGTAAGTATTCATGATATGCCTTTAAACAGCATGCTAAATTGTCATGTGATTTTGTGAAGTTGGAAAAAAGTTACAATCGAAAAAGCGTTTCACCGAAGACTTTTGGCCACTACTGTATAGTGGTGTTTCTAACTCATCAAGATTTGGGTTCCTCATACGTAGGATCACTTTTGTACAACACCAATTGTGATGGGTTTTCCGTAATTTGCGCCAAAGGTCATTGTGGCGAAGCACAAAATTCTAGCACCCATTTCACCGATGGATTACAATGCTCTTCACGAGATGCACTATTACCGGACTACGTGACACGGTACTACGTCGAGCTTACCACAAAATCGCAATGGACTTAGGAAGATAACTGCTTCGAAATCAATCAATTGGACGCCCTAGAACTTTCATCTCAGTTTTTCGAATTCTTTCAGATCACGACAGCAACAATATTCGATGCGGAAAGCCTGGAGAAGGTCGATTTTAAATACGAAGTTTATGACCACGGTAGGTTTACAACATTCTGACTCGGGTAGCTCAAAAAGATTCTGTAAGCGTCGCAGCCGTGCATTCAGAGCAGCTTTTCTGGAAAAACTCTAACCAGCCTCTTCTTATTAAGACATTTTCTATTTTTTTTACTTTTCTTTCTCCGATTTCCGGTAATCCTGTTTTTTAGGATCACCTTCAAAAGCGGTCATTTGTAATGGGACTATTATGATTGTTGACGTAAATGACAATGCTCCCGTATTTGACCGTGGCGTCTATAGGGCAGCCATAAATGTGAACAGTTTGTCAGAAAACCGCACAATTGTCGTCGTAAAAGCGAAGGATAAGGATAGGACAGCGGAAATTACCTACAAACTCCTCAACTATCTGCATTTATTCGAGGTTGGAGAGGATCCGTTCTCACTTGTCGTTTTATAATTTTCTTGACAAAGTGTAAACAAGCTCAATCCATCCAAATAAGCGTGTGAAGTGATTTGATAGAGGGAAATGAAATTTGTGCAGAATTTGCGGCTTAGTTTTTCTTCTGTAGTTGGCGCAAGGATTGCGGATTACTATAATTTTCCGTCCATTGAAATCTGTTGGTCATTACCACAACCTTTCAGCTGCAAGTTAGAGGCACGGTTCACGATAAAAATGGTTTCGGAGATTTTCACATGGTATGAATTCGAGGCCCCTACCATATGTGCCGAAATGAGGTCGAAAAACGTTCTGGATAGGGCACAATAAGTGGTCAGAGAGTGGAGCACGAGATGCCCCGCCCCCCGCTAGGCTGACTACGAAATCTGATTGTCATTTACCACTTTCGCATTAGAGCAACATTAGTGAACAATCGATAAGCTGATTGACATGAGCGACTAGTGTTTGATATTCAATCGCTTTTCTGATCCCGCTACTACTATTCGCTTCCACTCAGCTGGAAATAATTATTCGCTGCAATTGCGAGTGGATCAGGTAAGTCAATTACGTATGAGAATTCACGTGATGGTTTTTGCACGCAAATTTATTTAATTCGTAATAATTGTTTTTGATTATATTTTATTTGCACAATCTTTAATTGGGTCGTGATGGGATGTTTTTAATAGATGGTAAAAACATTCCTCGATACCGTTTCAAGATTGCAAAGGTGTTTTCTATAGATATCGCTGGCAATTCTTTTTTATTCATATTTTTACCCATGCATGCTCATGTATTATTGATCGTTTATTATTATTATCCTATCTGTTTTGCACGTTCTTCATAAAGGATCATTGATGTGTTTTTGTTCAATGTCAAAAATACTTTTTGGCTTTGATCTGGAGAACAACGTGCGGTTTGAACCTTATATTCGCATGCATCCCCTTAGAAATGGCACTGTGGTGAGTTTAATTCAGAAAAATTTCGTATGTTACTCTCTTTCTTTTGAACTTGTTAAGCAATATATTCGTAGATGTTTTATTGTTCCAAGTTACTGTTGTATTTTTTCATGCTGCGCGCAATTATATGCATTTGCAGTTCAATTCGTATATCTCGAGAAATGTGGGGTGGTGAGTTACGGATGCGCTTCGTTGCGCGCGTCCGTCGAACTTAGCACGTCGCAGCCGTCGCATGCGGCGGGTCAGCCCGCGAAACGTGACGAATGTCGCAGTTGTCAGTGGGGCATACGATTTGTGCTTGGTCCACAGCCGTCAGCCAAAGAGAAGATAACACGGACAAATGCTAACTATTCGCTCTACTGCCGCTTAATGGTGCTGTAATGTCATCTCGAGACCTCAGTGGCGTGCGCCGCGGGCGAAGTGGGCAAGCTAACCTAATTTCGACGGACGCGCGCAACGGACGTCCCCCGGTGAGTTAATTTATATGTTAATCTGTCGATTTCATTCTTTTTTACTTATTCATTATGAAGAATGTGTTGATGAGACCTTTTTAAATGTTGAGACTACTGTCTTTGTTTCATTTGAATTATTATTTGTATGTGGAACTCGCTATTCCCGTTGGAATAGCAATAGGTTTTATTTACGTTAACTTCATTAATTCTTTCATTTTTACTTTTTCATAAAATACATTCAGCGAACTACAATGAAGATTGAGTAAAGGATAAAGAATTAATAGAGTGAGTAATCAAATGAAACTCACGGCGTCGCTATTCCACAGAGAACAGCGAATTCCACATGCAATATTAATGTGTGACGGAACATGATAATTCAACTCAAACAAACACAGTGTTCTCAACATTTAGAAAGGTTGTACTAACGAACTCTTTATAGTGAATAAGTAAGAAAGAATGAATAAATCAGGCCAACATATGAATGAAACTCATCACCCCAGATTTCCTCGAGAATCACGAGAAAAAATTGCTAGTTGCGCAGAACATGCAAAGAAAACGTTAATAACATTGAACAATAAAATATCTACAAAACCATCGTAACAGAAAAAAATACAGTAATGTTTAAAAAATAGAGTAATGTATAAAATACTTTGAATGAAGCTCACTAAACTGCCTTCTGCAAGGGGTAAGAGGGAAAGGGTGGGATGGCTTGCTAACAGTATGTTCCGAAAAACAGAATTCTTCAAAAGAAAGTCAGAGTGTGTTATTGACATTGTACAAGATCACATCAGTGACCCCAAGTGAAGAATATGCATTGCAAGTAAAAAAACATTTGGAAATCCTTCCATGAAATTCTCAAAACAACGCAATATAAGCTAATATAATCACATTTGATCGTAAAAACATGAGTACAAACAAGTTTACTTGTTTTGGCGAATTGGATATACCAAATATTCAGACAAAATATCACCAGTGGAATGAATAATCTTAATAAAGAAGGCAAAACCTTGTGCGACAGCTTTTGGGTGTGTTGTGTGCAATTGCAGACATTGCGTCGCCTCCGTCTACTCGCCCGAACACTCCCTTAACCGCCGTTTTTTCGCTGTGAAACTCGTCCAACCCCCTTTTTACTTCAATTTTGTACCTCTGTATTTCTTTTTGATCGTCGTTTTTTGCGCCTTCTTTGTTATCTTCGCACCATTCTCGACTGGGTCTATCATTTTCCGCCATAGACGGCTACACTAAAATTATCGTGAACTGTGCCTTCAAACTCTTGATTTAGTAAAGCACCATATTTCATCATATAGTGCTCGGCAATGGCTAGTTGTCTTGCACTCGGGCACCAGCTTCAAAGCCTAACTATTAATCTAGTAGATGACCTCGGCAACTCTTAATTAGGGCTTTGCCACTTCAATCGTCACTTCCTTCAGGGGAGTTGAGTTGCCTGCTTCACCGTTAGCCATTCTGGACGAGCTCCTGATCACCCTACCCAATGTTAGGATTCGCGAAGAATCCGTACCACCTGAAGAAGCACCTGGAGAGATCAGTCCAAAGTTGGGACGTGTGAGGCATACAGCTGACGAACTAATCACAAGTAACCTCATCGGATCTCGGCCAGCAATCGGCGAGTGGGAGGTGAGATGCAGCAAAGTGGGGCTGGGGAAGAAAGTTCCCCATTTGGTCCCAGAAAAGCCACAAACGACAAAGGAACAAGTGAGCAAACGCGAGCAATGGATCACCTAATAAAATGAAGGAGAACCACCAGCAGTGGGCGGAAGGCCTTGAATTTTGACGCTGCCTAGTGAATTGTTCCACCACGAAGTTCCTATAGAGCGTGGAATCTAGGAAAATCTCTGTAATTGAGCGACCTCATGCTTGGACTGAGCAATGCTCCTCCAATGCAAAGCGCGTGCCTAGGTAAGAGGAGCTACGTTCAAAATTGGTAACTGTGCAAAATCGTTGTGGGACCCAAAAAAAGTTGAAAATCACATTTTCATAGTGAGCAGAGTGGGCGTCGAGTTCGGTTCAGCCATGATCAAGAATTCGCAAATTTGTTCATAGCGTCATTGATTGCGATGCATGCGTTAGCGCGCGTAGCTCACCTGGTCATCATTCATAGAACAGTTTGACGTCATACATAATCGAATTGGTAGGGTTTTCAATAATAGAGGAAAATCTGATCATCAACAACTGAAGCTAAATCGATTTCTAAATCTCGACACGAAACCTTTGGTGTTGCTGTTACCTTCTGTACGAGTTCGACTTATTTCAGATTGATAAAAATGCGGGAATAATCTCAAGGAAAGGACTTCTACGGCCTGACTCCCGCTTCAACATCTCTATTGCCGCTATTGATGAGGTTGGAAAGCTGGCCACTACTGTCCTTATCGTCACCACATCATCAAATGATTCTATCCCGCCGGTGTTCGAAAAATCGGAGCCATTCAGGTACAGTACATACGGACTTAGTGAAAATCATCTCGCTTTAGTTGGAGAACAGCCGCAATTTGTGAGAAGTAAGTGGAGAAGTAACAATATATCGCGATAATAACTTGCTTCTTCTGTGGAGAGTTAGATCTGAATGGTTTCTTTGAGAAACCTCAGATACAAGATTTATACCAACCTTATATGGGCTCCGACAGCCGCTCTGGTAAATGGTAATACTATCTCTCTCATTTATAAAGCAGAAACTTGGTGTGTCGGTTTGTCGGTTTGTGTGTTTGTCGGTATGTCGGTTTGTCGGTATGTCGGTATGACGGTATGTCGGTGTGTCCGTCCGCAAACGTTCATGATTACGATAAAGGTATGATAGGTGGTGATATGGAAAACCCATTCTCTCAATGAAACTCTTACATTTCCTTCTTTACATATAAATCAGTAAATGGGTGGGTAGGTTAATGGAGTGTAGTGAGTTCTGCGTAATGTAGTGAGTATATAGTGAAGCCAGTAATGCGACCCTGGGACTTCTTACTGACACTGTACAAGGCTACCCCATTCATTTTTTTTCATTTTTTCTTCCTTCATTCTCTTCTCATTTCACTATTTCAGTCTAATAACGCGCAGTGAAAATTCCCCTCGCTCCTAAGGCAAAGTGGGAGCGATCGGCTGACCCGTCATTTTCTTTTGAATTTATTTATCGGAGCGTAAGAGACACAACATATTGAGTTCCATTGCGTACTGCCCTTTCCCCCTCCAGCATTTCTGTATAGAAAAGTATCATCAACTAAGGATCTCAGGATCATAACACCGTTGATGGTTACCCTCTTTTCTTTGTTAGCTCCACATCGCCTTCTCTATGACTCATCAACCTAGACCAACAAAACCTGAAAGAAATTTTGAATGGTTTTTATTATTGTTCTCGACTGTTGTTAACACCACTATCAAAAGACCATGACCCATCCTGCTGATTTCCATATTTTGGTGGTTGAATTAGTTTTGTTGCAACTGACATCTGAATGAAAAGAAGACGCGGTACCATTTATGCGTGCAGATTTTGGTAATCTCTCAGCAAGGAATAGATCATCAGTAAATCTGGCAATTGAGTTCGAGCAAAAATTTCGGAACGGTATGTACATCAAACATACGATTTTCGAGACACCCCCAGGTGAATGCCCACTGAAAATGGTGGTTCTTACAGAACTGATTGTGTTAACTGTAGATGCTCCCAAAAAGAGCATTTGGGTAGAGTGGTTGAAAGGATTATCAGTTCTTCTGTTGATCCGAAATTTTCAAGAGGTCTGCCTTACGTGAATATCCCTAACGACCATCAACGCAGATTTCGGCATCGGAATTCAGATTCATGCAGAACTAAAGGCATCATTGGCTCTGGCTAATCTATGCGGTGTGGTGAAGTGTGAAACTGGCGCTCTCGGCAGAATTAAAATTTTTTTGAAAAGGCTGCATCGGTAAATCTAACCCCAATTTAAACCAAAATTCCGGAACGGTATCTGTTTTTAAACATGCGTTTTTTGAACTCCCCTAGACGATACTTCCGGGAGGATGCGGTTCTCACTGAACTNGAAGCACGGTTCATACTGAATTATAACTTTTCATGTGAAACGGAAGTTTCAAAGAAATAAGCGTCGCATGATTATTATGGTCCTAATGCCATTATACTTCTGTAAGGTATTTAAGGCTGTAAGGCTATTTTCTTTGGCAAGGCAAGGTAAGAAAATTTATCACGGGTGTGAAGCAATTTCGACCGTCTCACTAAGTCTGATTCTTTTAAGTGGGTCAAAATTTTTGTAATGTATGAACTCAGGTCACAAAGATTCTTAGTCATAAAAAGTGTTAGTCATTATTAGAATAAAATAGTTTCATTTTATATTGATCGAAAGGAAATGCCAGATTGTTTGTACAAATCTATGTCCTTATTACATTAAAAGGGGGATGCCCGGCGTAGCCGGGCTTTACATAAGAAGGAGGAGAGCCCGGCGTTAGCTGGGCGATCCGACTGGTGTAATGATATTGACCATCTGGGCCGTAAGCCCTATAGCAGTTCCCTTGCTCTACTATTATGTAATGCGGATATTCCACAGCCAACAGTAGTCACGCACTATTAATAAAACAATACTTGTGACCTGACTAATCATATCATATTTTGTGGCAGACGGATCTTGTAAAAATGTTTTTGGTGAGAGAAAAATCACAATGTCTTCACTTTTAAGGTTTTTACGGACGACGCTGCCCGTTTCTATCATCGGCAGGGTCAGAGCCGTCTCTGGCCAATACGTCATCAATTACCGCATCACCGACGAGAGATTTGATGTTGACTCATGGGGAAATGTAATCCTCACGGGTGATTCAATGACATCAGGCGATCACGAGTTTATTGTGACAGCCTCAACGGCGTTTCACAACAGTACAGCTGTTCAGAAGGTGAAAGTCGAAATTGCTGATGCAGCAAATGGTGGAGGAAGGACGTTTCGCGTTAAGGTATGTCTGGTAAATAAACGAGTACCAGTGTAAACCCTAGAAAACGTATTTTTCTACCGATTCTTTTTCCCGTTTAGATTTTTCGCCCACAAAATTCTCTACAGATTACAGGGTGACACACATAGAGTGTGACTGGCTAGGAGAGCCTCCTTTTAGGCGGCTTGGTGTTCGCTTCCGCTGTACTATCAGATTAATTATTTCTGCGGCGTTTTTCGAACCTACTGTGGGCAGTCTTTTTGGTGTTCCTTGATGGAGATGGTGTTGTTTGAAGATCGTTTAGCAGTTTAGCTCAGTCCTCATTCAGGAAGGAAGTCCATCAGTTTCCGAGATTTCCAAGGCTTTCAAACTTTATCGAGAGCCAGCAGATTGCCTCACCAAACAGTTTGAAGAGACCGAGAAAGCTGAAAACCGTTCAAGAGGAAGACCAGGAATAACTGTCAAGATCTTCACTTTCCGAAAAGCCGTCAAACTGCGCTGAGTTCCTGAGAGAAGCCCGAGAGAATTTTTATCGAGCCTTTCCGAACGCGCGGAATCAACGGATACCTGACAAAAGAACTTTAGGAGTAGTCAAGGTCAAAAAATCTAATTATTCCACAGTGATGATGGTGTGAGCGGGTATATCGGGTCTTGATTGTCTTTGTAGAAAAGGGAGTGAAATTTGATGCCGAAATCTATTGAAAGCAGAGAGGGGATGCGGTAATCCCTTGGGCCAAGAAAATCTCGAAGAGTCTTAACTGGACCTTTCAGCGAGATTAGTCACCAGCCTACAGCGTGAAGAAGGCACTGCAGTGGTGTGAGGCCGAGCTTCCAGGTTTTTGTACGGAGGACTTTTGACCTCCAAACTTCCTGATTTCAATCCCTTGGATTCTAATGTGTGGTCGATTCTGGAACGGAAAAGTTGCGGTTTCGAACACGAGTCTTTCGACTCTCAGAAAAAAGTCTTGTGAGGTCTGGGACGAAATCTCGCAGGAAATGATTGCGCGAAAGGCGGTCTATTCGAAATTCATATGTGATATGTCGTTCACTGTTTTTTTGACAAGACAGAAAGACAGAAGTGAATAGTCTCCAACTTCTCTTTTGCTTTGAGCTCGGCATAGTTGTTTATAATTGAAATACTTTTGTGCCGTACGAGGTTGTTACTCCAACTTCTCTCTTGCTTTAACCTACATAAACTGCAACATATGTACCAGTGCTATACAGCGGAGCATTTTCAGAGCTGGGCTGCAGGATGTTGTACAATCAGTGAACATTTCTAATAACAACACCAAGCAACTATCAGTTCGAAACATTCTCTACGATAAGCAGTGCATAACAAAAGACTGCAACATATTTCCCTACGGAAAGCCAGGTGATTGTTCACTGATGGGCGTAATCTACCAGATAGAATGCCGGACATGTGGGTCAACATATATCGGAGAAACGGGAAGACAACTAGCTATACGTATTGAAGAGCACTTAGCTAGTATGAGGCGAGGCAGCCTGATGACGGCGCTTGGTAGACACAAATCTGAGGAGCACAACGGCAACAGTTTTGAAGTAAAGTGCATGATATTAATGCGGGAGGCGGAGATTTCAGCGAGAAAGGCATTAGAGGCGTTTTGGATTTCTCAAAGAAGTCCTACAATGAACGGCAGAGATGAGTGCCCGTCTATAACCAACGATCTTTTACCATACATACCGCACTGCGTCTTATGACTCAGTAGCATTATGACGTGATCTCCCTTATCACAAGTATAAGGGAGACAGCAAGAAAGTCTCATTCGCTACTGACAGTCGCCTGTGGCGACAGCGGATTTTCTCCGCTCAAGCAGTGGAACCCTGGTGAGTCATGCTTCAATCATGGGTTTTGAATTTGTCGTCACATTTGCCAGGGAAGATAACGCGCTTCTTGGATAATGTGCAAATAATGTCGAGTTGCATTTAGGCCCCTGAAGAAGACGATTGCGTCGAAACGTTAGGCCGTTTACTAGATAAATTGTTCCACCTAACAACCTCGTACGACACAAAAGTATTTCAATTATTAACTGAAGTGAATGTTTCTCATTTGGTTCGATCACTATAACTGCATAATTAGTTTCTTGTGCCGCACTTCATGTGAGCAACACTATACTTCCTGGCCTAAACAAAATAAGGCGCATGCCCATTCCATGACAAAACCTTCTTTAGGTCCCTCCGAAGCAAGTATCTATACCAATGCCAAAGGTTTTACTTTTTAGGAAAACTCAGCACCTGAAACGATCACAAGCCTAGATGAGGATTCGGATATCTTGCTGACAGTACCGCCAACATCTGCTTTCAAGATATCCGGCCAGAAACTCGTTCTAGTGAAGCCATTAGATTACGAGATCTCGTCCACATATCAATTGCTTGTTGGTAATAAGCGGTAAGTACCATATTGAACACTAAACTGCCAAGTATACCTGGCACCGAGTTGTTGTAATGAAGAAGCTCTCGCTGTGGAGCCCATCAATTCTGATCTGAGTTATATGTAGCGCGTAGTATGTATGTACAATAGCGTTACTTGAACGTGCGATCACATAGCAGATAAGATTGATATTTTTCGACTCTCGCTTAAATTGCTTTGGAGTTTGCAATCCCCGGGTCCTCTGTGCTACACTCCCAGCCCTCTTCGTGACTACTTACCCTGCTCCTACATATCACGGCGCCGTAGAGCTCCCTCACCTCCACTGTATCAGTGGGATTTCTTTTGTCTGGATGTTACTTGCTACCAGGGGGGAGGTGGTGTAGTGACAAGTGGACACTTCACACACCCATGGTTACGGGTTCGAATCCCGAATCGATATCCGCCTAGGCCAACCAAGCCTCCCATCCCTCAGGGATCACTTCATTGGTACCAGAATCGCGTGGGAAGGATAAAAGTACTGACTTGTACATCGGCTGGCCACCGCAAGTAATCGTAGTATAGGCTACATACGCACTCATTACGCCAATACGATTCTGAATGAAAATCGAGTGCGGGGACGCTTCCATCAGACGGGATTGATCCACGCCAAAAAATTTTATCCTTCATCTTTTATTAGTTGCTACTGTCACTATGTCAACGAAACGAGTAGGCAGCGCATCCGAGACAACCAGTTAGCGATCTTCGTCCAGATTTCAAAAATGCGTATTTGGTCTATATATTAACTTCCATTGCTGCCGATATAAAACTCCCCCCTAGAAAAAAAAGTAGAGGCTCATATCCACTATCCCGTCCCAAGATTATAGGCGCCAAATTCAAAGAACTTCGAGGACGATAATAATTTATTTCGCTTCATTCGCTGTTGGTCAGTTGCGCTAGTAGACTTTCTTGCAATCTGCATAGTTAGCGGTGTAAGACTCCTAATGTCACTAGGATGGTTGAGGCTCTCTTTTCCATGCGAACGACTGCGACTTGCAGTCGTTCGCATGGGAAAGACGGAAGGACGTAAAGTTTCTTGTGATTCCAACAGGGCCGTACAGAAGGCTGCTAAACGATACAGCAAGGCAGAACCAATCAAACACAAAGCAGGGGAAGGTACAAAGGTTAGTATTCCTACATATAGCACTATTAAAATAGTAATTAGTTCTACGAATCGTTCGTCACTTTTGGTAACCCATCAAAAGGGCGGCAGCGGGCCAGAATTTCTCAAAGTTGTCCAACAGAAGCTCCATTGCCATTCCTATCGTGTGCGAGAGTGCCATCTTGCTACCAAGGGCAGCAGTCAGGGTAGGGTAGAAAATTTCAGAAGATTGTTGAAGTGGAAACACGTACCCCTTCATCGTTTTCGCAGGCGAAGAAATTTCACGACAAAGCCGGCGTTCAACTAACATAACGAAAGCGTTCTGGAGAAAAACACCGTAAATGCAATCTTTCAGTGAGATGCCGTCGACTCCATCGGTAGTTAGTTAAAAAAAGGCAAAGGCGTGCACTCAAAAGGCATGCTGATAGGAGTACTGAATCATTAATCCGATTCCGCTTCCTGATACCTTCCAGTAGGACTGTACTACAGCCCACAGAGTCAAGCTCGTTCAAGAGTGCTGCCGGCGTCAGCTTTCTGACTTTGTTAGCATGAAAAAATGTTCATGCTGCTTCAAACCGACCATTGCATTTTTCACTGATAGGTCCAAATAACTTGTTTCCTTCATTAATTTTCCTTGCCATGAATCTCTATACGTTCTCCGTTGTTTTCCGTTGGATTCAAGTCAAGGTTGTTAGCCGGCCAGGGCAAAATGTCGATTGGATGCTGGGTAAACCAGGCCTTGGTGCTCCGAATGACGTGAATAGTAGCATTGATCTGCATGAGTACGAAATTCTGCTGCCGATTCTGACGCTGTAAAAAGAAGAGCGCGGCGCATTACGGCTCGATAAGTGGAGCAAAATATAAATGAAAACGTTTACGAGAAGAAATTGTCGCCCATACCTTGACTCCTCCTTTGAAATTTAGTCCGAAAATGGAAGCTTATCTTTCCTCGTGCCTGTAGAACCAGTCGCCATTTGGGTCATCACACTTGAACATCTTCACCGTAAAAAAAGCAACCTGGAGAACGATACATCAAGAGAAGAATGAGTAGAAAACAAGTTATGAAAGGCACCTTACTCTGGATCCATGTGCAATTTCTGTCAAAAGCTATTCGGTTGATGCGATGCTTTTCGGTCACGAATAGCCCTTCCTCATTTTCAGCCCATCAGCTAACTCAAAGTTATTTATCACGTTACACACAGTAATCCTCATCGCTTGTCCTTTTTGTTTTTCTCCAAAAGTAACGGAGGTTTCGTGATTTTTCGGTCCATAACGTGGAGGATTCTCGACGAATATGCCGATACCCCAGATCTCAGACTGTTCTACGATTTACGAGTTTCTCATCCCTTGTTGCGAGGATTTAATCTTTCTTTCCTGGCAACATTCAAGAATAGCAACATTCCCTTTACCCATTACTTGAATTTGGGAATCATTACCAAAATGAAGCAATTATATACGCTGAAAATGGAGCGCGACGGGAAATATGAGGTTGGAATACAGGAGAAATGATTCTGAAAAAATTGGATCTGAAAATTGTCTATGCTCTCGAGATGGAACTTGCTGTTGGCCTACAAGTTACGGTCTGAGTAGAGCAGACTATACATCTTGAGCTTTATCTGAAGTGCCCTGGAACGTGAGTTATAGTGAGTTCATAGGGTGTTTCGAGCCGTACTGATTAGGCCTATAATGATACTGTCATCATGTCACGTCCTTTGGAGGGTGTGAATAATGCTGCTTGTTTTCATATGTGACGAATAACTCCCCCATCCTCATGCTCTTTTAGGAATTCGCAGCTGATCACTATCGAAGTAATCGACATCGCTGACAACGATCTCGAATGCGATGAAACTACGTTCATCGTCGATACACTGCCATTTTCAACTCCTCTTCATTGCAAGAACCCGATTTCACGAAATACATCCAGACTGACCTACAGGACGATGTCATCGGAAGTGAAAGTATCTGAAGATGGGCAACTGTCTACGTCCATATTGAAAGAAATGGTTACTTCAGTTGCTGTAGACGTCCTAGATAACGAAAAGTATGTTTTATTGCTACTGTATCTTGTAATTTTCATCTTGAAGCTAAAAGAACTAAAGAAATAATGACAAGTCATTAACCCACTGACGACCATGACGTTTTGCGGGAAAGCCGCCGCGAGGGACCGGCGCGCTTTTCGTCCACTCTTACGGTCCAGCATGACCATTTTTTTGAAGTTTATAAGAGATATTTATAAGATTCCGGAATGTTTCTTCAAATAGGTTTGAAAAGAATGCCCACACTGAGTGATTATTGGTCTTTTTTATAGAAACGGCACTCAGTCTAGTGGTCATTCAATTATGACTTCAATCATTACCAGAAATCGTTTTGGGGGAACTTTTACGAGCTCTGCATTTGGTCGATGGCAGACAAAATGCTAATGACGATCGTCTTTTCGAAAAATCTCATTTTTTAAAGTTGTTCAACGAACGAAAAATTCACCAAGGTAATGTGCTCCTTCGAAAAAACACTTTTACAATCGCAAGATTAGAAGATTTTCCAGGGTCACGCTTTTTGTGGTTTCATCTAGACCTGATGTAATGTTTTGAAAAGAAAACTTGTAAAAAAAATGAAAATATAGATGAATAAAACAAAAAATACAACTGCAGTCCACATGTGGACTGCATGGTCGTCAATGGGTTAACAATTGAGAAAATGGAATGATGCAGTGTAACTATAGATTGCTCGGCCGGGAAATCGAACTTTGCCTAAGTGGGATTTTTTGAAGCTTTTTTGGAGGTTTTTTACAAGCATTATTAGCTGCATAAATTCTACTTAACTAGATTACTGGCTCGTGTAGGGGAGTTCAAAACAGTTTTGGAAGCGCACCTAGACCTATGCAATAGTTTCTTTTCAGTTCTACGACTCGACGGTCGAAAACATTCACAATTCGTCTCATTCGAGGAACCATGACCGACGAAAGTATTTCATTCCCATCAAAGGAAATCTCTTTGCTTGTGGCGTCATCGCAACCGATTCAGACGACACTCGGGCGAATCACAGCCGAATCGGCTTTACCCCTCAAGTACTACGTGGTGGGATCATCCTATATACAGATAGATGAAGACAGCGGAGTTGTATCGACGAGAAGGAAAAATCTCATAGATGTAACAGAAACCATTGTGGCGGTATCCCCCACAGGAATTACTACTACCCAGGTGACAAAACTTTTCTAAATCTCAACAGGCCAAAATTTCAACCTCCGCCGTCTAGGTTCGCATCGAAGTCATAGAAGATTCGCTTGCACTGTCGAAAGATTTGTTTCTCTTTGTGCCATCATCGCTGTCAGCTGGGCAGACTATAGGTCGACTAGATGTTGGTCGAAATGATGTTTCACTGGAGTTATCCGATCCATACATATATAATCGTGGATTGGAACTGATTTTGAAAAAGGACTTGGACTTTGGTAAAGTGAGTAGATTTGTTTTTAAATCTTCGCAGTGCCTTCAAGTTGAGAGCGAGCATTCTTCAATTGGTTCAAAGACAGTCGATATGAAGGATTTGAGTTGTCAAGGATTGAGATGTAGTGGCCTTGCCCAGCCCATGGATGAATTTGCCTAGACTACCACACCTTCCTCGTTGGCAGTTCCTCCTATTTTGCAGCGAGTTTATAATCGGGAGGGGGTTTTTTCGCTGGCTGGAGATGCTTACAACTTCCAAGGCGATGGAAGAGCATCTAATGGTTGTATTTTTTTCAGAAGCAATATTATTACAACTGTTCAGCCATGATACGCAAAGGAAAACATTCATCAACTGTGATGGTGCGTCCACTTTTCCTTTATTTTCACTGCAATACATATGTTTATTTCTTCATGTTGGTTGTCCGGAAGTTCCTGGATTCTGTTTACATTCCTCAATGTCTGTCTGTAAAGGGTTCGTGTGGAAATCGAGACCATCGCGTGCATTTTCACAGCAAGGGAAAGAGTGGAAGGTTTAAGTCGCGAGAAAGATTTGTGACGTTCAAGCAGACAATGTTGTGTTTGAGCGTACAGTGCCATGAGTCGTTTGCGAAAAAAAAAGCATGAATCAATCCCCGAAGGTCGCCGACACTCAGGGAAACCATCACCATTTGGAACGACCAAATCATTTTCAGATTTTTATCCTTCAATCCGCTCACAATGCAAGTCATGGAGAAGGCAATAATTTGGAATACTGGATCCGCGAAAACGCTCCCATTGGAAGTATAGTTGGCAGAGCGCCAACCTTCATTGAAGGTAGTATTTTCATTAAATTTTTTACCTCTTTACTACCCTCATATTACAGGTCCGGCCACATACTCAATTATCGGCGATATTGGACTGTCTGTAGATGGCAAAAATGGCATTATAAAGACCACAACAGTGTTTGATCACGAAGAGGTTGGTGCTTGAAATGAGACTGTTTGCTCAAAGGCTGGTTGTTTTCAGAATTGCAATAGAGTTCACTTTCAGAAACAGCTCTATAGCTTCAAGTTGAAGTCAACATTTCAATCTGGAGAGTTCATTGAGCAAGAATCTGTCCTAGTGATTGATGATGAGAATGATAACTCACCCAAATTCAACAGCGATCTCTACAGCGTCGAGATTGTTGAAGATGTCAAAGTTGGCACTGAAATTGCGAGACTTAAATGGAGCGACAACGATTTTAGTGAGAATCTTTATTACAAACATCTAAGTAATTGAGAAGTATGATTCAAACCGTTCAGAATAACTCATATTCAGGCCTTTACTTTTGTTTTAGATCCTTTGTATATTAGATTAGAACTTTATTTTATAATTTCTTTATCGCAGTGTGTTTATTTATATTCATATTGTCGTATAGAGGCGGAGGTGGTGTAGTTGCAAGTGAGGACTTCACGTGCGCACGATCAGGGGTTCGAATCCCGGATCGATGCCCGTCTAGGCCAACCGGATCTTTCATCCCTTCGGGGTCGATTAATTGTACCAGACTCGTCTGGAAGGAGAAAAGCCCGACGTTCACATCTGCTGGCCACGACAAGTCATTGTGTAGGCCACATACGCGTTCAAAACGGCAGTACGATTCTGGATGGAAGGCGAGTGGGTGGGCGTATCTCATAGACGGGACAGATCAACGCCCGCTCTTCCCAGCTTCGGCAGCGTCAGTCAAAACTGCTGCTCTTCCCTCTTTCAGATCTTCCTTTATCTCTTCTCTTCGCAAATTCGGACGATAGCTTGTTATTGCCTGCAGCTCGCGCGATTCCACGCTGGCGTATCAGCTCGAGAGTTCTCCAAGTGAGGCGTTTCTTGGCATCTTCGAGACTCTCTGCTTTCCTAACATTATCGTGAAGATTTTTGACGAGCCGGTCGTATTCTTCATCGATGTTGTCGCTAACGGAATCTTCCCGCAAACTCGTTAATGAAGCGAAGTGATCCTAGTTGCCCAGAAAAGCGGAATCTAGCACGATGGTGACGATGTAATAGTGTAAAACTTTGGAGCAACAGCGACGTCGGTCAGGCAAAACTTCCGATTGACAATGATGTGATTTATTTCATCATGGAACTGTCCACCAGGTGACTAGCATGTCCATCAGAATGAGAGATCTTCTGGAACTGCGTCTAAACATGGATGGACATGAAGTATTTGACATGATAAACTCAGATAGCCTTTTACCGTGCTCATTCTACTGCACTTTCTGATTCTCAATGTGAAGCTCTTCAGACATTTTTCTGGGACCAACATTGGCATTGAAATCGCCGACGATGACCTTGAACAAAGTATGGAATATATATATATAGAACGTATCATAAAAAATGCCTCCACTTCTTCCCCTAGCTCCTCGTAGCTCGATGTCGGTGCGTAGACTTTTAGATAAGCGAAGATTTTTAAAGCTGGAGTTGAGCCACATCTTTTCAATCGCAAACCCTATTCGGGTTGTCAAGTTTCTGTGCGATCAAATGGATTTTCATGGCCAATTGTGTGTTGAGGAGGACACGTGCACCATCGATGCCTCTGCTGTCGGTTCTTATTCGATTTCAAAAATGGCGTGCAACGGGCAGTGCTCGGTCGGTACCATGGCGTCGTACCTGACCTTCCTGGCTTGCATCATCAGATCTTCGATGTACGCTACAGATGCAAGCGTTCGTGCATTGGAAGTACAGACTGCCATCTTGATTCCCCTGTTAGGCAGCCTATTATGGCACTGAGATTTCAGAGCCTCCTTCCAGCGGTCCTACCGAACGCTGCCGTAACAGGCTGCCGTATTTAAATTTGTATTTGGGTTCCCCTCAGGCTCAGGGGGATAAGGCCCATCTTTATTACTGTTTTGGCATATGAATATCCACGTGTAGCTTGCCAGGCTCTAACATGTAGGGGCCCAACAGATTGCCTCTTTTTTGGTAAGCAAACATCTCCCCGAGCGAGTCCTTGTCCTTAGTCCAAGAACGCAGTGATTTAGACGTAATGTACCGGGACTTGTTGTCTGCAACTTCACGCGTGAAGAACAAATTTAGCCGCGACCATGGGCGAATATATAAGGGAGACTCAAGCAAGGGGACCGTCATCCCTCCAGTTCCTCGACAACTACCTAACCACAGTTTCAATCGCGAAGCGGCAAGCCGGTCATTATAATGCCATTATAATTGTCATTATAATTATATTATAACTGGAGGTTACCGGAACTGTGCATTAGCACACATGATGAAAAAACTACAAAAAGCCGAGCTTTCCTGCAAGAATAAAAAAGGTAAAAGTGAACACGCTCACACGCGCCTCACCCTCACCGCGTTGCGGTTGTAGGCCAGCGGGGAACCAATACATAATACACTAGTATAATCACTATTATAATACATGAAGCAAAGTGTAGCTCTTGTCAAATAGCTAGACCAGAAAAGTGTTCATTTGAATATTGACAATAAATTACAGACAATGCCTTCCACCTAGCAATTGAGGAAGGCAACGAACTTCGCCAGTTTGATGTGGACAGTGATGGGAGAGTTAAAGTAAGCCTGTTAACAATATTTCGCCAACTACTGGTAAGCTGTGATATGAGTGACCGTTGAGTTGATTTCAGGTAATTGGTGAATTAGATCGCGAACGCTTGCCAGTGCATCGTCTTGTGATTCGACTAAGTGATGGTATCGCTCCATATCCTTGTGAGTGAGCTCATCTTTTCACAAAAGAAATAACCGTGCGTTGGTTGGTGCTTTGTATGTATGTATGTATGCATGTATGCATGTATGTATGTATGTATGTATGTATGTATGTATGTATGTATGTATGTATGTATGTATGTATGTATGTATTATTTACTTACCCTTTGATGCATTGGTGAAGGTGAAGCGTGAATGAATTTGATGATATCATAGTCTCCTGACAGTCAATGGATCTCGGGGCAAAAATACATATCTCAATATGAGCTGCCTTCGTGATTTCTATGTACAATTAGTACGCGTTCACATGCCTGTGTGAATCCGATTGAAGCCGTACCGCCTTCAAATCTGGTACTGACTACAAATCCTCCTTTTCAGATCACACAACGGAATGCGTTGTGACCGTGACTTTGCGAGACGTGAACGATAATCCTCCTGTGTTTGAGTCATTTCCAGAGTTTCTTGTGGAAGAGAACAGTCATCGAATGAAAGTTATTGGTGAGCCTGCACTTGTTTCCCAGTCAGCGGTTGACAAAGCTATCATTACCACCTTAATTGATTTGAAGCTTGATCACAATACCAATCTTATTTGAAAAATAATGTGCTACTGTCGAGTAAATAATAAATTGGAATATTCTCTTCAGAAGCAGGCAATTTTCAGTGTTTTAGGAAGAGTTCAGGCAATGGATGCGGACGAAGGGCTTAATGCTGAGATTCACTATCGTATCGTACCGGAGTCTCTGCCACGAGCTGAATTTATCATCGACGCCGTTCGTGGAGATTTGATGGTAAGTGTTCAGAGCCGCTCGATCGACCTCTTCGCTCCATAAGTTCTAGCTCTACATTTCCGAGGAATTGAAGAGTAGCTCAGTGGCGTTAGTTCCGCCTCGAGTCTTTCATCCTTCATTTTCACATCTGGCCAAACCTAGCAAATGAGCCTGCATTTCACCTTACCTCAGACCAATTGTCTTTAGCTATATTGAAATAGTAAGCAGTAAGGAATTAGCCTACGCTGAGCCTGTTGCTGCTAAAAAGAGGAAGAGTGATCATGCTCACCTCAGCGGCGGAGTAACGCTTTTTATTGGTTGGTTAGGGGAAGTCTACATCGGAACTCCTGTCCAACGAACGCACTCTCTGTCTACTCTACATTTTCGGAGTAATTTACATATCAAAATTGAATTATTCATCTTTCANGAGCCCGTTCTTATTATATCAGTTTTATGCACTGTTTTGAATGTTATAAATCTTTTCAGGTCAATAAACCATTAGACTCCGAGCAAACACGCAACTACACTTTTACTGTAGCTGCCATGGATCATGGTATACCACAGTTAGTGTCCTACCAACGGGTTACCGTTCATGTTGTCGATGTTAACGACCATGCACCGATTCTGAGCAGCAGTCCCACCACAATTGAAATCGATGAGGTATTTCTTTTGCGCTGTCATAAACCATAAAATGATTGCGTCGCTGAAGCTGGCCTTTTGCGTCTTCTCTGATGTACAAGGATTCTATTGATGGCACGAAGCGCAAGGTAACGCTCTATAGAGAAAGTGTTTGCTCAACTATCTTGAATTGGCATAAGTTGTGAATACAGTTGCTTAAGTAGTCGCTTTGTCTTTCCGAATTGCTCTTTAATGTTGAGAGTAACGCATGTCTCAGGCGATCGTCATGGAGAGGGTAACGTATCCTTACCATACCCTTGGAATTCGTGGGCATTTGCTTATTTATTTATTTATTTATGCACTCGTAGGTGCGCTTATTACAGAACTTTACTGATTAGGTAATTTAAGAGGGTTTCTGAAAGAAAACAATGATGATTAGATAATGCAAGTTCAAAAAACAATCCAATCTTTCTGTACTACATGAGTTAGGACATAATCAGACGTTTTTGAACTTGAGGCGGTTGATTGTGTACGTGATTTCAGGTAACGACTCGTGGCAGTCCTATTCTTCGTTTGAAAGTTGATGATGAAGACTGTGTAAGTTGTTTCTTGCAACTACTTTGCCAGTTCTTGATTAGAACATTTCCAGAGTATCACCTACACATCCTGGAAATGAAAAACCTCTGTTTCTTTGCATCGTCCGAAAAAAAAAGTCAAAAAAGTCACATCAATTTCAGATAGAAAATGCAGCGAGCGTTTTTGCAATCGAAAAAGGATTTGGTGTATTTGACGTAAGTCCCATCAGTGGGGTGCTGTACGTGAGCTCACCGCTAGACTTCGAGTCTCAATCCTTGTACAACGTAAGCGTATCAGCAAGGAATATCGCTGGAGGACCCAAGACTTACAGGTGAGCGGCCAGATTATTCTCTCTAATCACAACGGACAGAAATGCATTGATAAGCTTTTATACTGGGCCCTATCGGGAGCTCGATCTGCGAACCTTCCCTCACTCAGTTTTATTTATTGTTGTTATTCATTTCATTTTCAATAAATTATTAATAATATTTCAATAGATATGATGATTTATAGTCCTCAACAACTTACTGCTTAAAACTCGGCATAGTTGTTCGTGATCAGAAACATCTTGTGATTCGCGAGATTTTTAGATGGAACACATTTTCAAATCAGCGGCGTAAGGGTCCGGGAACTTCTCCCCTAACACGGCGTCGCACACGTCGCACCCGCCGCCTATCGCAGGATTGCGATGGAAGATTGGAGCGCGCAATTTGTGAGGTACGGAGTCCTTTAATTATTCGAATTGGCTGGCCGCTCTTTTCAATCCCAATGCGGTCTTGATCGTCATTTATACAGGAGGAGTTATTTTAATTAATCATGTATAATAAACATGAAAACTAAAAAGAAACAGAAGAAAAAACGATAAAATCTAATGAAAAAGCGAGCCAGTCAAGGAAAAATATCGCGTCCTATCGATTGGCGGGGAGGCGGGGTGAGTACGGTAATTGGAGTGACATTTGCCGCATGCCGCAAGGGAGAATGCCGCGATAGGGGAGAAGTTCCGTTACCCGCGGCGCAACGTTCCAGCGCAATTATCTTCTTTAGAGGCCCAAATGCATCTAGAGATGATTTGCATAATAAAAAAAAAAGCTCGTTTTCCTTCTGACAATTGTGACGACGAGTTGAAAGCCACCAATTTGAAGCATACCTTACCGCGTAATGGGGCGAGAATCCGCTGTCGCCAGACAAGTCTCAGTAGCGAGTGAGGCTTCCTGCAGGATTGACCTTTGGTTTAACACATAATTCCAGTGTCCATATACAAAAGGACGCAAGTTTCCAAGATGTGAAGGTAACGCTTTTCAAAATTTTAGTTTGAAATCTAATCCTGTTCCTAATTACTTTCTCTTATCTAATTTTTTGATTCATCTATTCAGTTTTATTCCAATTATCTTTTTTTGTTATGATATTTGCAAATGGTTAGCCATAAGACAAAGTAGGACTACCTCGTTGGATTTACTTTGAAGCCGTCGTACGCCGATCACCTACTTTGAACTTGAAAGTGACTGCAAAAACGCTGTGTTCGGAGGACTGAAATGACGAATTGCAGTTTCTTGTTTAGCACACTCGTCGGTAATGAAATGTTAAGCCCAGACAGTTTGTAAACAACTGAGTATCTGAATTCGTCCCGGGTGGAGGAGTTTAGCAGCCTCTTCACATTCCACACACGTGCTGTTGTTTTCGTGCAGTAATCTTAAAGGCTCAATTAACGATAATTTTAAAGTACCCGTTTTTATTCAAAAAGCGGAAGTACGGGGGTTGCCTTTTATATTTTGAGATTTGGCAACACTAGTGTAGCAATCTAGCAACTGACACCACTACCGTAAAGTTTGACTATTTTGAGGTTACGTTGCGAAATTTGAGCGCGATTTGTATTCTTTACACTAAGTTATGGGATTTTGTTTAGGCCAAGTTATGGGGTTGAATCGTGAGCATTTCCGCGTGATTATTTTCTACAACTTTCGACGTGGACTAACTCAACAGCAATGCACGGATGAACTTAGTTCAATTTTTGGTGATAAAGCTCCATCCAGGGCCAGTGTTTATCGATGGGACAGTGAGTTCACCCGAGGTCGTAATTCACTCGAAGAAGAATTTCGTGGAGGTCGTCCAAAATCAGTTGTCGTTCCGGAAACGGTTGATGCTGTGCACAAACTAATAGTGCAGAACCGTCATGTGACATATCGTGAGATTGGGACAACCATAGGCATTAGTGGGACCAGCATGCATTCAACATTGCATGAACCCTTGACTGTAAAAGAAACTGTTTTTGAAAAAGTTGTCAATCCCCCAAAAAAGGGACTCGTGTTGATTGGTCGAAAGAAGTGCTCAAAAAATACGATCGCGGTGTTTCGAAACACGTCTATGACATCGAGTCAGGTGATGGATCATGGATTTATGCGTATGAGCCCGAAAGGAAACAGCAGTATTCTGAAGGGGTATTTCAAGATGAGCCAAATCCAATAAAGGCTGTCTGCGCATCAAGCACTTCCGAGCAATTGATCTCTTGTTTCTTTGGGAAAACTGGACATGTCACAACCGTACCACTAGGACAAGCAGAACAGTCANTACCTACACCAGAGTGGCAAAAGTGCTTCGAAAATTGCTTCGAGCCTATGCGAAAGTGTATAGTTCTTAATGTGGAGAATGTTGAAAGGCAGTAAAGCGATTTTCAATAAATAGTATTTGTTTCTGTTCTCAAATCTCAAAATATGAAAGGCAACCTACGTATAGATCGGGAATAGTACATCGGAAGTGAAAAAAGCGAGAGAATTCGCCGATTTCAAGAAAAATGTGGCTCCTCAAAAGTAGGAAAATAGTGGTTGGACGAGATTGCCCACTTCTGAAATAATATAAAAGGGGTATTCGGGCGAGATTTCAGTTATTGCAATTGCACGATGAGCTGACTACATCAAGCCAGAACTGTACAGAACGGTCTTTCAATGTCGCTATGGGCCATGACAAGTTGTTTGAACCTCCTACATGGGTTCTCTTGTGATCGCTGCAGCCTCTACAATGCCGGTGAAACTCGTCCGAGGGTACACACGGGCCAATCTTTGGGCCTCTATAACTCCATAACTAGGTCGTTTTCCGACCTAATAGTGTCAGGTATGGTGTACGCTGGGGGCCTCAAATTCATCCTGTGAGCGAATCTCAGAAACCATTTTTATCGTGAACTGTGCCTTTAAACAGCCCAGCACTAAAAGTTGATATCGAATACTTTGTGCACTTTGAAATTGATGTATTTGAAGTGAAAAATGGTTTACTGGACTGGAAAGCTTGCGATTTTTACGGCTGCCCCTTGAGCTGGCATTATAAAACCCATTTTACTACGCCTTTGCGCTTGACGGTAGACTACAGCGTCTTTTTCTTTTCAGCTCTGTAATCGTACATGTAAGGGACAACAACGATGAACGTCCAAGATTTATTGGTGGCTCACCAGTACAATTCTCCATCTATGAAAACTTACCAGGACCTTTTCCTGCAGTGATCGGCACCACGATTTCTGAGGTAATGAGCCTTTAAGAATATTGAATTCAGAAAAAAAATTAAAAAGACTTTGGAAGCCAAGGGGCTCCCCGCTCGATCGTACGATTTGTACCTGAAGATCCATCCTTGGATTCAGCTTTGAAACGTAGTTGAAAAGAGCCAAGAAAATGAGCTCGGTAGAAAAGGTATTCAGGCTATCATTGGTAATTCAGGCGTTATTAAGAGCCCTACAGATTCGCGATCCTTCACTTTCTTTGTTTCTGATTTTTTCGGTAAAAAAAAGAGGAACAACCAGAAAAGTCACGGCTACCGTATTTTTCACCTTCTGATGATGCGTGTTAATAGGCTTCTCAAGTTTTTTTTTCTCGCGATAAGGCGCTTCCCTTAAACAGAAAACGAACTGGTAACGGAAGAGTAATTTTACTGCCATCAGTGCCATCTCTTTATGCTTAGCATGTCATTTGACCGAGGTCCGACTGAATAGATTGAACAGCTTCAATGTGACCGTCAAAATACCATTTTGAACGCGCAAGACTCTTCAAATTGAAAGGTCACATGTTCTGATTCATAGGATCTGGACGACGGCACGAATGGGCTTGTGGCCTACAGTATTTTCAAAGGCAACGCATCCCTTTTCTCGATAAACTCGGCATCCGGTAAGAATTTTCGAGTCAAAGTAGTTTTCACAGAGCATTTACAAAAAACGTAAAGAATTGGACATTTTTTATGAATGCTTTGTGAAATGCAGAATGTAGAAACTTTGGAATAAATGTATGAGAATGAAATTTTCTGTCCTTTCTTAATCGGGAAATTCAGGAGAACTTCTTTTACTCAACTCATTAGATCGTGAAGATTGCATGGAACACTTTATTACTGTGCAGGCAATCGACTCCGGAACAACTAGGCTTTCGTCCACTGTTGAAATCAAGGTAAGAGAACTGCTTTCCACCCATTTTTGGTCCAGAAAGTGCCTCACCCATTTCTTGTCTGAAAAATGCCTTTTTATCAAACGACAAGATGGGTAGCGTTTGACGCTAGACTGGAATTGATTTCATTGTACCCAACTCTATGGTTCGGCAACACTATATTAGTAACTGTTACGGAGTACTTCGAACTTTTATCCTCGGGGTTAACTTTCTGATCTTCAAAAGAATGAATTTATTATCTAGAAATATTCGTATTTACTTAGCTGCCAGCTTAGCACTACCAAGTTCATGTGGAAATTCTAAGCAATCACTTTAATTACATACTATTATATGGTTATACATATACTCAAAAACTTTCTGATTCACTGATTATTCGGATTCAGTATGCATCTACTTATCCATCTACTTACAACTTCAAGCACTGAAATCCCCATGTAACCTTATACCTAGGTGTCACATTAGAGCCTGAATTGCTTTTTACGAATAGTAAAGCCTCCATTGGAATCCATATATTAATTCGAGTACCCTTCGAGAATAGTATTTTCTTGACAGCTTCACCCGCATGGAGCAGAGGCGTCTCTGACATTGCGACATTAGACAGCTGCACCTCGTCCGATTTGAGGTAGAGAGGTAGCTACTCATTGAACCCTACTACATGAGAATTTCTGCAACCACCGGTTCAAATGACTTCCAGATCCCGCTCTATCGGAATTAATGAAATCAAGAAGAGAGGGTGGTATGGGTTGTAGTGTAAACATATCATTTTTCTCCATCTATTCCGCCATGCTAAGTTGAGCTTCATCTAAGATCACCGTACTTGACGACAATGACAACGCGCCTGAATTCGATCAGCCTTACTATGTTATTCATGTACGTGAAAATATCAAGCATGGCCAGATGGTTCTCAAAGTCACAGCTGTCGACAAGGATGAAGGCCAAAATGCGGCTGTGAGGTTTGTTCTGTGATTTCTCGCCTTTTTTCGGATTTTTTTCCCTTGTAAATCACTAATCACCAATTATGAAGTAGTCATAACTCAGGTACTCATTATTGGAACAAAGTCCATTCTTGATTGATAGGATCACAGGAGAAATCCGAGTCAATAGTGCTGTGGATCGCGAGGAAATCAATGAATATCGACTGACTATTAGAGCAACAGATTCAGGAAGGTGCGCGCATTTTTTACTAAAGAGTTCTCCACAAACAGTAACCACTGGCATTGTTTTCATTATCACTGCTACTGAAGTTGTCTACCGTTGTACTGCCCAGTTCAGGTTCCGGAGGCTAACATCTACTGCACGGCTTACAGTCTTTATTGATGATGAAAATGACAACCATCCTATCATTCGGAATAAGCTACTCGACGTTTTCGTGCCGAAAGACTTCAGGAATGGTCAGTTTGCTTCAAACTGCCTTCTCTTTCACTATTACTTCTTTCGATTCCATCGAGCAATCTTCTGGTAGAAATGTAGTTGGAGGAGGGGCAACGCTCTTTAGAATCGCGGAGGACAGATGGGGCTTTGGAACGTTTCATAGCTTTTTTAATGTTATTAATAGGTTTTTTTTTCTGAGCATGATAAGGTAAGGAGCTCCGAGGTGGGTGAGCCGGTTCACAAATAATCCTGTCCTCCTCTTTTGAAGATTAGTTTTGATTTGGAAGGGCGCTGCACCATCCCAACTATCTCCCCCACCCATCTACATTTTCACCAATTTTTTTGTCTTGTTTTTTTTAAAGAAGTAACTTAGGGGAAACTTCGGATGTAGATTTCATTTTCTATGTATAGTAAGCTGTGAAGAATGATAGACTCGGAACCCTTCTAAAAAATCTGTGTGCTTTTTAAATAGAAACCCATGTAAAAAATAAGCCATAGCCGGTGAATCAGCCGTAGCGTACGGATCCTCAGAAGCTAAGCTATATCGTCAGTGCGAGAAAGGGATAAAAGTGCGCTGGATCTCCTGTTCTTCTCGAATTCACTAGTTAACACTCTTTTGTCTTACCTTTCCTTTTCTTTAACCTTGAGTGGCGACATCCTTGGTTACGTTAGGAATGGTTTTTGTTTGCTCCCTAAAAAGATCCCTGAGGGTAGCCTGGGACTCTGTCTGGTCAGAAAAGGTCAAAACAGGGCGTTATATAGGCTCCTTAAACCGACTCAGTCGAACCACACCCAAGGCGGACGAGTTGGTAAGCGTCATACAATAGAAGCTGTACTGGTTGCACTATTCGCACTGGGTCTCACGTCCTGCACGCAGGCAGCGTATTGCAGCCATTTGTATGCAATGGCGCGCACATTCGAATAGCTCGTCCAAAGGCCCCTTCTATGCAACTATTTTCGTGACATTCTCGTCAAACCTGTAATTTTAACTCTTTTTTTGTAGCATCATATCTCTCAGAGGGCAGAGTGGTGTAGTGGCAAACGGCGCACTTCACTCACGCATGGTCACAGGTTCGTATCCCAAATTGATATCCGCCCAGGCCAACCGATCCTTCCATCCCTCCGAGGTCGGTTAATCGGTACCAGATCCGTCTGGGAGGATAAAAGCAGTCGGCTAGTCACGGCAAGTCATTGTATAGGCTACATACGCATTCAATACGCTACCACGATCCCGAATGGAGGTCGAAAGTGTGGGCACATCCCTCAGACGGGATTGATTAACGCCCCGAGATTTTACTCTCTACTCTTCACATTTTTTAAAAATAAAAGATTTTAAACATAGAAAATTGCACGCGGTGGGTCATCTTTGACAACAAGAGCCCGGCATCAGCCGTTCATTGTCATTCCAAGTTTTTATTCTACTTGAATTCCAATTTTTACTTTGCATTACTGATCTAAGCGGGCTGAATTCTAGGAGATGTGGTTCACGTAGTGGATGCCACTGATCCCGATGAAGACTCCACTTTATTTTTCAACATCTCTGGAACGGATGCTCGCTTCTTTCGCATCGATGCAAAAGGAGAAATCATCGCCAAGGTAAAGGCAGCTAATATATTGGTGCGATCTTCAAACTCACTAACGATCGAGAACTATCATCATGGTTCTATTTGCCTATAGCTTTGAATAATGCGATATCGATGGATGGTCATGGTACCATCCATCGATTTCGTATTATTTAAAGCTATAGGCATTGAAACAATAGGCATAATCTTTCCTCAATAATATTGAGTATCCGTTACTGAATAAAGAAAATAATAAGTAATGGATGGTAATCAAATAATAATAGAGAACAGTAATAATTTATAATTACTGTCCCCTATTATATTATTATTCCATATATTATTCTTGTGCCATGCGAGGTGTTGGGTGGAGCAATTTATTAAGTCAACGACCTAACGTTTCGGCGCTCTCGTCTTGTTCAGAAGCTCAGAGCAACTCGAGATGATTTGCATAGTATCCGAAAAGTGCGCCACTCCTGTGGCGAATATAACGACGAATAATACTGAAGATAATACTTCTAATCTTAACCAACACCAAATAACATTTGTGCCGTTCTCGCAAAGTTTTACAAGGAGCCCCCAACGGTGCCCGAAGGTGACGTTAAGTTCAAGTTATCCGCGGAAGTTATGGTTGTTCTAAACCAGCCTAGAGGGCTCCGGAACACAAACTTAACTTTAAGCGAAGGTTGGGCTTTGAGTAATTTCTGAGCTGAGGTTTACGCAGGGTCTTGCTACGGCACAAGGGCTAGCACCGGTTCTTGCTGTAAGCTTCATGGGCAAAATTCAAGATTCGGCTCTAGAAAGAAATCTTTCGATTACTGTGGATATATATCAAGGCTGTTTCATCGTAACATCAACGCAGCTCGTAATGGACGAGTGTTTTCCAATTGCGAGTGGACAGTCACACCACGTTAAATTCACTCGAAAGTTACCGCATGATGGTTGGCTCCCTTACCTCAACACCCAGGTCAAAATGTTCAGTGGGGTTATTAGTCCAGAGTGATACCGTAAAGCTAGTAGGAAGAATATCCGAATTCTTGCTACATCAGCCATCCACAATCCGTTGACCGTGCAGTCGTGAACAATATGTTGAGAACAGCAGCAAGTGTATGCACAAGTGAAGCTGAACGACTCAAATCACGACGTTTAACTTGGGAGATAACCGCTGCGAATATGTGTCACAAGGAAAATGCCGAACTGATGCGGAGTGTGCTACGCCTCAAAATACCACCATGTCTTCCCTTTATTTCCGATGAAGTTAGAAATGCTATACAACAGAGATTTAGAGCTGACTACATGATGTTGTGCAATTAGTGAATATTCCTATAACAACATCAAAACTGCTATTAGTTCTAAACGTGCTCTACGACAAGCAGTGTATAACAAAAGGTTGCATCATATGCCGTTACGGGAGAACGGGTAATCTACAAAATGGAACGTAGGACATATGGGTCAACATATGTATATCGGAGAAACAAGTAGACAAGTAGCTATACGAAAAAGAATATCTAGCCGCTATGAGGCGCGGCAGCCTGATGACGACGCTTGATGGGTATAAAATTGAAGAGGATCAATGGCAACAACTTCGAAGTAAAGGGCACACTATGAGCGCAAGAGGTAGATCCTCAAAGAGAAAGACAGTAGAGGCTTTCTTTATTTTCTAAAAAAAACCTAAAATGAACGGTAGAGATGAGAGGCCGTCCATAACCAAGGTCTTTGCTGTATCTACCGTACTGCGGCGCCCCGTGACTCAGTAGCGTTATAATTTGTTCTTTCTTATCACAAATATCACAAATATAAGGGAAACGGTAAGAAGTCTCATTCGCCGCTGACATTCGCCTGTGACAACGGCGGATTTTTATATTCGCTGGATCAGTGGAACCTTGGTAAGTTATGCTTCGAACTATTAATCCAAATTCATCGTATTTGCCAGGGGTTGGTGCGCTTCTTGTATACAAGGCAAATCTTATCGAATTGCATCAGGTCTCTGAAGAAGGCGATAGCGTCGAAACGTTAGGCCGTTGACTTAATAAATTGTTCCACCTAACAACCTCGCTTGGCACAAGAATATTTCAATGAAAACACCTACGCCGAGCTCAAAGCAAGAGAGCAGTTCTGAAATAATAATAATAATAATAATAATAATAATAATAATAATAATAATAATATTATTATTAATAAATAAAGCCCTGTTGACAATTAGCTATTCGTACTGTCGTAGGAGATAAATGGACCTGTGGGCAAAAAATTAAACTATGAATAATTGAATCTGATCTGGTTGGCATAGGTTATTTTGTAGGTGCGGTCCGTTTACTGCCTGCATGATCACTTCATCAGCACCCTGCTGAGGGGTATTTTTGAAAATACCCTGTGCAAAATTGCCAACAGTTATTTTGTTTTCCAGAGTGTGAACTACTTGACTTTTTCAGACCGTGCTAGAGATGAAAGCATACTACTCAGTAACTGTAGGAGTTTTCGATAAGGATGGGCTGAACACGAGCGCAAGCTTTACTTTCTATCTGGACGATCGCAACAATTTTTCGAGGTTACATTTTGCGCTCAAATTGCGCAGTATGCCTCAGTGGCGGAAGATAGATCAATTGAGAATCGTGTTATTACCAGGTGGACGTCGACAATGAATAGGACATCCCTCCGAGAAGATTCATCTGGAGAAATTTTCCAATTTGCGGCGATATCTTCACGGGCGGACTCCTACGTAACTTACTCGATATTGAGTGGCAATGATGGGTCCTTTGAAATTGATCCTCTCTCGGGAAAATTATCAGTCAGGTAACAATTGACTAGGAGCGTTTGCATTATCTTTGCATGACTTATGCCGTTTTATTTCAAGTATTAATCATGTGCTTCTTGAGTGGTGGGACCGGGTCACGTATGGTTGCCACGCCTACATGAATACTTTTTAGACCTTTCTAATTCCAGCCGAGAATTGGATTACGAGAAGCGATCGTCTCATAGATTATGGATTGCCGCTATCGACTCGGACAGTCCGCCGAAACAATCAATTACATCCATAGATATAGTCGTAGAAGACGTGAACGACAACACTCCTATATTTGACCAGGTGCTTCATAACCACATTATTGATTCTGTAGTGCAGCGATGCCGCTTAGCGGCCGCGCGCGTCCCAGGTTGACATATTCTAATAATTGGTCTACAGTGGCGGTCACCTCAAGGTTTTGGAGAATATTCATACGATTTATTGTAGGTGATCTATTCTGTGGATGTAATGGAGAATTCGGATCCGACGCAACAGTTGTGCGTTTCTGCAACGGATCGTGACCAGGGCGATAATGCTAACATTTCCTACTTCATTGTTAGAGGTGAGTTCATGACAGTACATTTTTTTCCTAAAGAGAAGTTTCATAGTGTGGAAGTAAATGTTCGCACTCAATGGATCCGCTCCTATTTCGTAAAGATAAAGTGCTGCTTCTTATGTCTTCACAACATTCTCAGATTTTTAGGGAATTTTTCAGAAGATCATTCCCTCTTTATAGCTCACAGCTGAATTATTTCCAGGAAATACTCTGGGCTCCTTTACAATCGATCACAGAACGGGGTGTATCTGCACAACGCAGATGTTGGATAGAGAATCGATAACCTATTTTCGATTGGTTATACTGGCAGAAGATCAAGGTAACCCACCACTGAGCACAGAGGCGATTGTTAAGGTGGTTTCAACTTTACATTTGAACTAAGTTGGTTTAATTATGCGGAGGGATGCTGGCAGTCAAACAGCTGTACTCTTCTGTCAAAACGTCAAAGAAATAATTATACTTTATTATGTGATCAGTGAGGTAAGCATAGTACTTTACAGGTGAATGTACTCGACGAAGATGATAATGCGCCCAAGTTCTCACATCTATTTCACGCTGAGATCCCTGAAGATTTAAAAGTGAGTTTACTTCAAGATTTATGAAAGTCCTCACGAAAATCACGGTCCAGATAATATACTGCAAAAGGCAGAAATGATGCTATGTTCTCTCCCCCAATATGAAGAAAAGCTGGAACGTGACTGTACGGACTGGCCCTGCTAGACCATAGTGGGAAGACGAACATCCATGGTTCTTCTTTATGCATTGTGAAAGATATGAGCTCCATGCCTAATGATGGTATTTCTTCCCTATAGCGCTGGGGAAAAGGCTGACGATTTATACATAAAATTCTGTCATGCATGTTTAGGTAAGTTTTTTTTTCAAACGAGCTCTATTAAGGTGGGCTCTCCAGTTCTCATGATATCGGCTTTGGATCCTGATGGCTTTGTCAATCACACATTCTCGATTGATAACGAAGCAACCACTCCATTCTTTATCCATCCACACACTGGTCAAATCTATCTTCAACGGCCATTGGACCGGGAACAGGTTCGATTGCCTTGTTTTTCCACTGTCACCATCGAATAGCTGCTCCATTTCAGACGTCGATGTACAGACTCCGAATACGGGTCAGTGATGGTACATGGGCAGTACAGACATATGCTGCTATAAACGTTCTTGATGTTAATGACAACGCTCCTGTGTTCATGAAGCAGAAATATGTGTTTATCGTCAACGATTCACAGGTGAGATTCCCCGAGCGTCGGCATCTGAACCTCAATCTGAGTTAGTGGAAATTTTGTCGTAAGTAGCTTCCCGCCAAATCAGTACGAACTTCTTCTCTTAGCCATATCATGAATTCCGCAACGCAACCCTGATCCTATCAGTTTCATCAGGAATTTTAACTCCTATTATTACCCATGAACCTCTTCTCAAGCAAGTCAATGCTTTCTTTACAACACCAATGTTGGAAAATGGTCATTTGGCTGAGTATTGACTAGAGGTTACTCACGTAAAGAACTCTGGGCAAGGTTTCACATAATTAAGCCAGCTTTGTATGAAGATGGCTCCAGTTTCATTCAAGTCTTGCCTAGGTGAACCAGACGTTTGGCAAGGTAGTGGCAAGAGATGCAGACGAAGGCAGGAATGGCATCGTGCATTACCGTCTTCAACGAGATGTGCGGTATATCTCAATTGATCCCATCACCGCTGAAATGAAACTGCTAGCCGTGCCAGAAAAAGAAGTCACCCGGGTAAGTTCATGAGAAGTCCTGGTTAAATTTCACTGAGTCATGCACTTGCTTTCCTTCTGGAAGCAATGAGGTTTGATAAGCACGTCTCGTTTAAATCGCGAAACTGAACAGAGAGGTAGTTGAGAGTTGCTACTGACTGTTAGTCGGCTTCGGGAAAACGTCACAGACCTGGGAGGTCAACCACCCAGGCGCAAGGCTGCCCTCTAGGCGTGATAAGTATGAAATGTGAAGTGGTAGAAGCATAGGTATTATTTTGTCCACCTGAGTTCAAATACGATGTCAATCTCACAAGACTATTCATAATCTTCTATGACTGGCGCCGCCGCACTGGAGCGACAGCAACGGTCCACAACATCAACAGCGCATTTGGGGAGGACACCACTTCCAACGCTACCCCGTCCATCGACACCGTTAAAGACGATCCAGAGGTTAACACCCACAGCACCTCCTCCTCCCCACCCCCCTCCCCGCCCCCCTCCCCCCAGACTTAGGTGTGCCCAATAACAGTCGTCGGCGCCTTCAGGTCCTCAGTTACAGAAAAACCAG